CATGTAATGTAGTCGGTCTGTTCATTAATGAAGAAGAATGAGCTTGGTTTTCCAACTTCAGGGCAGCAATGGTGCTCGACATTTCTTCTACCTCAGCGTAACGCTCATTGGCCAGTTGATGCATCTCGGTCAAATGGCTTTCAGGAATGGAATAGTCAGTCGCACCTTTGATCACGAGTCTTCTGTCGTTCAACATCTTGATGGACTTACCTGCATCCCTGTGAGCACGCTCAAGAGAGTCCTTTTGGGCTTCAAGTTCAGTATGAAGGCGAGCAATAGCTGTATCCCTGTCATTGAGTTCATTGTGCAAACTGTCAAACAAGGTACTCGTCACATTCGGATTGTTACTCATGTGATCGATCTTGTTCAGAGCATCTTGATATTTCTTACCAGTTTCATCAAAGTTTCGCTGGAATACTTTGAGCAGGTCCTCAGTATCAATGAGTTCAGATCTAGTCTGCAAGTACAACTTGTCAACTTCGGCCTTGGATTCTTTCAAGCTGTCACGTTCACGCACGGCTTGCATGTACATCTCATAGAGAGGTCCTCCATGCGGTGATCTGCTTGGTGATGATCTTCTGGCTTGTTGACAGGAAAGTTCATGATACTGATTCTTCGATTCAGTCAGTTGCTGTTGCATTCGATCTAAAAGACTTTGTTTCATGTGTAGTTCAGAACGTAGTCCCATTAACCTCATGTCCCGCATGCCGCCTGATTCAGCTATAGATTCTTCAGATACTCTGTTCTCAGAAATCGCTAGTCGAGATTGTAAGTTCTCACTGTGGATCACCTGCAATCGAAGTTGCGATTCTTCCAAAGCTAAGTGATGTTCACATTCTGCATAACGGTCATGTTCAGATCTTATGTTACTACGGAACTCCTTCATGATCTCGTCCCTCTTCATGTCAGCAGCATCGAGCTCAGTTTCCAGTCGCCTGACGTTCATGGCCATGGTGTGCTTCATCGTCTGGTTCTGATTAGCAACCTCGAGCATCTCGATCTGTAAAGCACATGTCTGGTCGTTAGCATAGCCGACCGCTAGAGCTTCCTGCTTGGCATTCATCTCTGCGTTTTCCAGTTCCAGTCTGAGTTGATTGATGTGAGCATTCGCATCAGCGCCCACATGCACCATAATTGCGTTCGCTTGTCCCATTTGTTCATCGAATTCCGAACGTAGTCGTGAATATTTGAATTCCAAATGAGATGCAGCTTCATTCGACATAGTCTGATACCTTTCCAACTCTTCGATCCTGTAGGTCGCACCTTCGTCTTCTTGTTGTGCAGCCTGTAACTCGAAGTTCAGCATCTGGAGTTGTTCGGTCATCGACATCATCTCTTGATGAGTGGTGCTCTCCAGGAAATTAAATTGCTGATAGGCATATGCTGTCGTCTCGCTCAATCTTGCCTGAAGTACGGATTCTTCTTCAGTGGCCCTTTCCAGTGATGTCTTGTATTCAGATAATTCACTCTGATAGGCAGTGAAGATGTCGCTACCACTTGACGGGGCGTTCACTTGCTGATAAGATCCTGTCCCTGATGGAGTAGCGTCCTGAATCGGTGAAGGCGGATTCGACGACGTAGTCTTTGCCTTAGTCCTTGGAGTCATCGGAGGCGACAATTGTCGTGCAGATGATCTTCTCTTTCCAGGTGTGCTGTCCCTATCTTCAATTGCTTGCATTGTCGAAATTTGTCTCCCTCTAGGAGCAACCAGAGGTCGCCTGGGTTGGCTTGTTCTCAGTTCTGAGGCATCGCTTCCACCAGTGTCGATACTCTGTGAAGAATTTGACTGCGTGCCGGCAGCTGGTGCAACGGCATGTCCAGAGAAAGAAAATGCATTATCGCTGCTATCCTGTTCAGTCATCTGTAAGGCCCGCGGCTACCCGCTCGTAGGCTCCGTAGGAGTCCTACGGCTGATAACCTGCGAATCGGTGATTGTCTGTCCGATTATGTCCTGATAGTCAATGTCAAAGTGGATGTTCCAGTGATGACGTTACAAGGGCATCAGCTTCCGCATTGCAATTGTTTTCTCTGACGCTGCAGTGGGTCTTGAGCCAAAAGGGCCATTGTCGCAACCCTTTGGCTTCGAGTCTTAGAGTGAGTTATGTGATAATGTACATTGGTCCGTAGCTTACACTCTATTCGCATGTATGTTTAATTACATCGCGACGGACTCTTTCATGTATATATATATGAATACATATTACTTTAGATATGTATAGGTATAGGGCCCAAGGGCTTAAGTATACGTTTCTGCAAGGAGGAATGAAGTTGTAGATATAAATATATAGCGCCGGACTCTTTCATGTACATATACATATTATTTTAGATATGTATAGGTATAGGGCCTAGGGGTTCAAAGTATACGTTTCTGCAAGGAAGTATGCCAGATCTTTGATGTATATTATATTTGTGATTACTTGTGTATTATTTTTTGGTTCTAAGCATAGGGGGTTCTAAGTAAAGGATGTGGGTTCTAAGCAAAAAGGTTCTAAGTAAGTTTGTTTTTGCTTAGATATATTTTGGAAAACATTTTTTTGGTTCTAAGTATGAGTCCGTCGCTATATATGGCTATATATGGCTATATATGGCTATATATGGCTATATATGGCTATATATGGCTATATATGGCTATATATGTATGTCTATCTATCTACCTATGTAATCTATTTATCTACCTATCTACCTATCTCCCTTTCTACCTATCTATCTATGTATCTATCTATCTATCTACCTATCTACCTATCTACCTATCTACCTATCTACCTATCTATCTATCTACCAAACTATCTATCTATCTATCTATCTATCTATCTATCTATCTATCTATCTATCTATCTATCTATCTATCTATCTATCTATCTATCTATCTATCTATCTACTTCCCCTTGGAATTTAGCCTGGGGTAGTGCCGCCTCATTTGGTACAGACACAGCTTACAGAATGATGGGGCAAGGTATTTGTACATGTCTTCAGTACAAAATAGTGGTTACCAACCCCAGGCACAGAAAGAGCTCACATGAACAACTGTTTGGATGATTTTGTACATAATGACATGGCACCCATGCAATTTCAACTCCAACAATGGCCAATGGCCTGATTCTGTACACCCCCCCTGTACATTTTGGCGAAACCAAGGTCACCATGTCAGCCACCTAAAGTACGATTTTGTACAGTCCATATCTCTGCCCAAAAAAATGAAGGCTTTCGATTTTGTACTGGTGCTATCTGAGGGCCACAAAGAATGATGTCAAACCACAGGTTGCCGTGGAAAATTGGGCTCTTTTTTGCTACCAAGTGCGATCTGGTATTGAGATATATGTGGTGGTAGTGGACCCCTGTTGGAAAGTTGCCGTCCCCAGCTCAGAGTCCACAAAATGGTACACACAAATCCCTGGGAGTGCCTTTGTACACCCACAGGGTGCTGAAAAAATGGTTCCTGTACGAAATGAAGCTCACCATGTTGATTTGGAATGATTTGGATGTGTACAAAATGGTTTGCCCAACCCCCATATGCAATCTCTGTACAAAGTGGGGTTTGTTGATTTGACGTTAATTCATCTACAAAATGGATCTTTGTAGGGTGTTCCAAATCAGGTCCACCAACCTTGTTGCACCAATCATCTTGAAGCCAAATTTCCCTGTACAGAATGTCAATGACCAACCCTTAGAAAAAAAGCAAGCTAAAATCTGTACAAAATGCCTCTAAGGGTGTACGAAATGCCCCTGAAAAGGTCTCACTACACCTCATTTGGCACTACAAACTTCAAGGGATATTCTATCTATCTATCTAGCTATCTACCGATCGATCGATCGATCTACCTATCTGCAAGCTTGAAAACGAAGCTATTCTGTGAGACTTCCTTGACATGTGGAAGTTGAAAGCTTAAAAACGAAGCTTTTCTGCGAGACTTCCTTAACATTTGGCAGTTGACAACATCCAAAACGGAGCAATTCTACGAGACTTCCTCCAAAAATCGACGTTGTCAATGTCAACAACTAAGCAATTCTGCCAGATTTCCTTCAAACATGGAAAGTTGAGTGCTGAGCTGGCAGCCTCCTACCAATGCGCCTTGCGATTTTTCCATCCCACCTCTCTAAAGTACTGCGCCTGCCACGACAAGTGAGGCTAGGTCATACGAAGTGCCGCGCCTATCACGCAAAGTCATGCAAAATCATGTATAGGAAACCTGAAGATCTGATGCTCCAAAATGCAGTCCCCCTCAGACTGATTTGATCACTTGCATGATTTGGGGTACCTCCCATTTCAGGAAACCTCCATATATCCCATTATTGTTGCTTAAGTATAGCCTTAATGGTTTGCCCAAACGGCTGAAAAAAAGGAACAACGCCGATGCGAAACGTCATGACTTGGAACAACAGTTGGAGAAAGCGAGCGGCCTTCGTGAAGGCGCGGCGGCGGTCATGGTCGGATGGCAACCATTGGGGGATGCGTAGAACATGTCTGACTCATACAATATCTCTGGTACTGCGCCTGCCACGCGACATGCGTCTTTGCAGATCCTCTTAAAACCTCCCACGCCTGCCATCGTTTTTGCAACTGCTACAAAACCCTCACGTTTTGCTCACCTTTGGCACGGTGCTGAATCCAGTGCGCCTGCCACGAAAAATGGCCCTTGAACGTCCGAAAGTGGTCCAAACATGCGGCGTTTTTAACATTTCGACTTCGAAATGTGCTTCGCGCCATGGCGCGCTTTTGGCGTGCAATCCGCCGCTTTAGCGAGCCTCAAAACATTGGAAAACACGGTGTTTCGCGATTTTTATACTTTTTCACGCACCTTGATCTTCTTTCTACTGACTCCGTCTCTTCTGACATTTCTGACTCTTTCTCTGCTGTCTTTTTCTCTTCTCTGACTGCTCTCACCACTGTTGCTGCAGCTGCCCATAAGTCGGAAGTTTGACTTCTAAGATTTCTAAGCTTCCTTGGATCAATCAAGCTCATGAAAGAGTATATTGCAGTATCTGTGTTGTTCAAGGTCGCACCTCATACGCGCCACTTGCCCGGCGTAGTTCACTGGGACTGGCTTGACGAATTGGAGTCTTGCTGCGAGTTGAGAGACTTTTTCGCCCGGCTGCTTCACGGAAGGAATGGCAACATGCAGCCAGTTTGTGAACTCATACAAAAAATGTGTTTCTTTTTGCATCGATCAAAATCCTTCACCCAAATTACAGAAATGGAGTCAGCTCTTTTGAGCTAGGAGTGAAAGGGAATGATGTTCTATCCAGCCGCCAAAGGGATGAATAGATTAGGCACGATGTCCGGAATACTGCACGGGCACCTCTGCAAAATATCGCAAGTTCAGCGTGCCATGAAGAAAATGGGCTGTGCACCGCCTGAGGTTGGTGCAAAACAACTGGCATCCGTGGTGGATATTGCAAGATACTACAAGGCAGTCAACCCACACCAATCTGTATCAATACATATCAATACATTGTCTAAAAGTATATCAAAGTATGACAAAGTCTGACAAATCAACACTTGACCCTCATCGGACTCATGGACAAAGGATTATTGGCATCAAGTATGGAATGGCTCACTCCATGCTTAACTTCCAAAATATTTCAATTTCAATCCAGAAAGTCACCGGAGCCGCCCTGCAGTCAGCTTTCAGGCCTAAATTCAGACGTGCTGCTGGCCTGCGACACTCCATAAGCTGTCAGCTGTCAAGAAAACTCTAACAGTTTGGTCAAATTATATATTTGCATCAATCTTTGGGCTCGGAAGATCTTTTGCCGGGACCAAGAACCCATCGGAACCCATGGCAGAGTTTCAGATTGCCCCGGATGGCCTGGACCGTCTCGCAGCAGCCCTGCAAAGACTTGGCGTAAATTGTCTACGAATTTCTACACTCAATGATCTCCTGAGTTTTCGTGGCCCGTTTCACACACAGACTTAGAGTCGATGGTATGTGAAAAGCCGTCTGACCAGAGGGCTTCTCACATTCACTTTCTGAAGTTCTCATTTTCAAACTCATGACTGAGATGGTCAAAGCACTGTGACTTGAAACAAATGAACACACTACAAAGAAGGAAGAAAGAGATGCCTCAAATTTCAGGCTGGAATGCTCGAAAGGGTGTGCCACCACGACGATGTGGAACGCCTCGCACCAAAGATCGCTGCGAAAGACACATCTCTAATCGCGTTTCATCTATAGAACGTCAACTAACAACCCAATAGCGCAGGCGATATCATGAATCACCGCAAATGGACAAAACAACTGGAGATTCTGATTCCATAGTGCGCTTTTGGTCCTTTGAATAGCCTGAATAACCTGGCTCTGCCGGTGGCTGCTTGGAAAGAATAAACAAAACGTGCAAGAACATCTACAAGTCAAAATGGACAACAACAATATGTAATTAACAATCATTAAAACATATGAACATAGAAAGTAACCACAAGTAACACTTCTCAAACATATGTATATATATATACATATTATGATATATATTATATTATATAGATTATATTATATATATATTATATTATATATAATATTATATTATATATAATATTATATAAATAATATAAATAATATAATAATATATATAATATGATATATAGAATATGATATATAATATATAATATATAATATATAATATATAATATATAATATATAATATATAACATACAATAGACAATATACAATATAATATAATTTAATATATAGTATAATTCAATATATAATATAATATGATATAATATAATATAATAACTATAATATAATATAATATAATAACTAAAATATATAATATAATAACTATAATATAATATAATATAATATGATATGATATGATATAATATTGAAAAATATAATAAAATATAATACAATATAATACGTAATTATAATATAGTATAATCTAATATAATATACACATTTAATTATATATAATATAATACATATATATATGTATATATATAATATACATAAATACTATGTTCATTATCAGTACAATCAATAATGTACCAACATGCAAACCTCACAGAACATGGTAAAAACAATTTTATGTTCATTATCAGTAAAATCAATCATATATCAGCAGAGACACTGCAGAAAATACAGTAAAAGCAATTATATTTCATCAGCGGCAAAAGCAATAGTAAACCCGAAAAAAAAAACCGTAGGTATTTTTTTTTGCTACTTAAATCATTTTCAAAGGGATTTAATTGTACGACCTGCCCCCCCAAAGTTGTTTGCTATTGCTTTTGTTTTTTTTTCAAAAAAAATGGGGGGTTATTAGTGTTTTTTAAACATTATATGTTTACTATATATATATTATCTGTGGTGTTTTTATCATAGGTGAATAGTTGTTATAGGGTTATACATAATATATATATATACTATGCTATCCGGCCACCCCCACATATTTACATATATATTTGATGTAATTATAGTATATATAATATGTTATCCGGGTCACCCCCATATGTTTACATATGTATATATATACTATCTTATCGGGTCACCCACACATACACACACATATATATACTTTAAACCCCACAACGCTTCCACTCAGCTATCACAGCAGCAACAGCCGGCTTTTTTCAAAAATTACCCATTTTGACAGAATTACCCATTCACTACCGGTAGCGAGCGTTCTAATTGCTCCCCATCATCCCAATTCTTGACAGAATTCCCCATTCACTACCGGTAGCGAGCGTTCTAAGGAACCCCAATCGTCCCAATTTTTGAAAGAATTCCCCATTCACTACCGGTAGCGAGCGTTCTAAGGAACCCCAATCGTCCCAATTTTTGAAAGAATTCCCCATTCACTACCGGTAGCGAGCGTTCTAAGGGCCCCCCAATCATCCATATGTATAATTGCTGCTTTTAAGATAGATAGCGTTCTAACAGGGAGCGACCGTCGCTCCCTCTTAGAACACTCACTACCGGTAGCGAGCGTTCTAAGGGAGGTTTCCTGTCGCCGGAGCACCCTCAATCTTGCGTTCTTCTCACTAAGACCCCAGCGAAAACACAAGATCATCCCTGGTCCGATGTTTGCCAACCCCCCCTTAGAACACTCACTACCGGTAGCGAGCGTTCTAACAGGGAGCGACCGTCGCACCCTGTTAGAACACTATCTATCTTAGGGAGCGTTCTAACAGGGAGCGACCGTCGCTCCCTCTTAGAACACTCACTACCGGTAGCGAGCGTTCTAAGGGCCCCCGATCATCCCAATTTTAGAAAAAATCAATTCAAACCCCAATTCACTACCGGTAGCGAGCGTTCTAAGGAACCCCGATCATCCCAATTTTTGAAAAAATCCACTCAAATCCCAATTCAGCTGCTGTTGCTGCTGTGATAGCTGAGTGGAAGCGTTGTGGGGTTTAAAGTATATATATATGTATGTGTGGGTGACCCGATAAGATAGTATATATATACATATATGTAAACATATGGGGGTGACCCGGATAACATATTATATATACTATAATTACATAATATATATATGTAAATATGTGGGGGTGACCCGATAGAATAGTATATATATATATTATGTATAACCCTATAGCAACTATTCACCTATGATAAAAACACCACAGTTATTCTTAAGTTTATATATATATATTAATATATATAATTTCTAAAAAAATCTATACATATTTATCCCTTTCAGTTCGCAAGCTGGTGACCCTGGTGATCCCTGCCTCCATGAAGAGTCCCTCGGGTCGGTCGGTGTCAGCACCGCTACCGCGGCTGGCTTCTGCCGCAGAGGACGCGCCTGAATCAAGCGATAGTCATAGGCTGTCAGGGACGGTGGTTTCATGTCGTTTCTCATCTTTCTTCAATGGCCATTTGAGGATCCCAAAATTCCCATTATCTCCATTGATTTCATGAATTTTCATGAAATTTCGATGAACAAATGGTATGACAGCTATGAAATTTCATGACATGTTGGAATATGATACCTATTTCTCATCCATGACAGCTTGATTGGCAACATTTGTAAAGTTTCAATAAATCTGCAGATTGAGATGAGAGTGTCTGACTCAGCATCACATGTCCGAATTCCGAGGTTGCCACTGTCACCACTTTCTGGCGTCACCTAGCTGCGGATTCAGTGCGTAAAATGTGGAATCTGGGGATAGCTCTATTCGTCTCGAACATGCGAGGTTTCCAACTTCCCAGAATGGATAGCTAAAACTAAAACATCAGCGAACTCCTGCATCTCAAATGTAGCTCAGCAATGCGTCTTGCTGAAAGGGCCAAACTCTCTCCTCTGCAGCGGAGTGGCAAAGTATCCCACTTCGAACGCTGGATCGTACCTTCAGCATTGATCATGGACTATGACTCCACGATCCGCGGAAAGTCCGTTGATATATCTGAAAACTACGGAACTTTGGCTCCGAATTTGACAAATTAATGTATACACTATACAAATGTCATCAAATGTCATCAACGGTCCAAGTTGCTTAGCTTCAAAAGCACACCAAGAACGCAAACATGATTTCACCCAGCTGACAAGATCTACTGCAAACAGCGCCAGGCTCTACAGTGTGATACTTCTACCACCTCGATTCAAAATGGCACCCGTCCATGAGTCTTGGGACTTGACAGTTCCAGTACAGGGTCTCAACAATTTTCCAACGGACAGTCTGCCGACACAGTATCTATTTTGCTGAAAGGCAGTTGGAGAAGGGAAACATGCCTCGCATGAGCATCTTATGCACCAACAAATATGTTTAGATGCACACCAATGAAGGTCGAACAAGGAACTATTTTTTTCCGCGACCATCAATGATTTTCAGGATGTCGCTGCTAGTGGCCGCTTTCGTTCCAATTACCTTCTCTTACATTGGAAAAAGTTTTGCTTCAGTGGTCATGTTGACTAGCTTGACAAGTTGATCCTTTTCAGATTATTTGCACACACACACACTCTCTCTCTACGAATAAATTGGAACGCTTGCAAAACACCTTGAATTGATCTTTTGTAATTAAGTTATATTAAGTTGATTTATTTAGCACTTGGGTCTATGTGTCCATTTGTATCCAGTTGTACCCTAGGTCCACTGTGCACAGTTTCACGGGCGCACAAGGTGTCGGTGTTCCGGTTCTTCCGTAGCACGCGCCCGAGGCCACGGATGATCCGCGGCCTCGCGCGGGAGATGGAGCACTCGGCCACCTGCCGGCTTTGAAATTGCAACTGGAAGACCGGAAACTGCAGTAATGTTAGTAAAGCAATCATAAACCACCCATATTTTGATGGTTTGTATATACATGTTTATACCAAACAATAAAAATGGATGTTATGGGAAATTTGGGGATGGTTTACGATTGCTCTACTAACATTCAACTTCATGCTCACATCATGTCAGTGCTCCCAGCGGCCTGTGAATTGCCGCCTAGAACGGAGAAGTATTTGTTGCTGATTCCACCCACAATGCTCACCAGGCCCACCAAAGCATGGAGCGCACTACAGCTCTGACCGCCATAGTTACCTCAGTTCCCAAAGGTACCGCCAAAACCTTGACGTGTTTCACATGTAAAGGACCTGTTCTTTCAGTCAAGAAGAAAACTCTATACATCTCTATACATCAATTCATCACACTGAAATGGTGTACTTATCAGAATCATGTTTCAGCTGGGAAGTCGCCAGAATGCCACCATGAACAACAAGAGTTCAAGATGAGTTAGCTAATTTAGCTATAATATATATATAGAGATAGGTAGTTTTTTGTTTTAACTTAACCGATCACGCCGCGAAGTCCTTGCTGTGAATTTTTGCCCCCTGCAATGGGTGTTGCTCTTGTGTTTTTTCCAGGCCAGTATCTCCATATCTCGAGTCCATGACACTGTCTAAAACAGTGCTTCTCCGCGCTAAACCTGCATCAGTATTTGCTTGACCTGGTTCAGCGTTTACCCAAACCATCATTACCTTTCTTGTTTTGGATTTTGGAATAATTTTCTGCCGAGGCGCTCTGCATTTCAATAAGAAATTATTCAACCAAAAGAAATTATATAAATTATGTCTGTCACAGTCACTGCCATGCTTTACATAGTTGCATTCCCTGAAACAAAAAACACGTCTGGTTGTACCATGATCATCATATGGTATATGGGGTATGGTCATCCCACAATAGGAATCCACACATATTGGCTATAGAAATCATTATAAATCCCATTAGATCCCTACGAAAACGGTACGAGATGGTACGAGTATGTCCATCCGTCCATCCCCCAATAGGGCTACCGAGGTACATCGCATGCCAGGCTCAGCAAGCTCTTGGACGAGTGCACCAGGAATTCCCATCTGCAGCTCGATGTGACAATGTGTGGGAAATCCGAGCAACAATCAATTGTGTTTCAGTGTTTCAGAAAAAACTCACTTCAAGGTCAAGATAGTTCAAGAGCTCCAGCTCTAGTATGACATCTACTGCAGTCATATCTCTTCCATGTCAATTTCTCTTTTTGATCGACGTTGACAACTGCGGGAACACGACTAGCAAAGTAAACAGCTAGAGGCGTCACTGTTCCAGGGTTTCACCATCAGGAGAAACAACATCTTTCCACAAACAACTGACTTTTTACTGGTTGGATAACAGGGATTCCCATAAACATATTGGGTAGGTTAAATATCCCTGTTATCCAACCAGTAAATTACTGGTTGTGGGGGGTTAACCTACCCATAATGGATTATTATAGAACTTCCATATACATATTGGGTAGTTTTTGACCCCCACAACTCACGCCAGGCTCCCTCAGTTCCGAACGAACCAGCCGTGAACCAGCGCCTCTCGTACCAGCCATTGATCTGCGGGATGCTGAGTGAGACAAAGGCAGCTATGCCCTAAAGTACTCAGCAGCTCTCGAGGATGCGCATAGGTGGCACCTGGGCCCAGCTGCGGAAGTCTACCTGAGGCTTGATTTAGTACATATATATATACACACAATAATACAATACTATACTATAATACATATCATTATACATAATATAGGTTTTATATCTACATATGTATATATATACACAATATCACAATATGTGGTATATGGATGTGCATGGTGAATTTCTATTGCCCCTCCAATATCACTGGCTCAAAGTTGGTGGAAACGAAAGGTCACCTTTGCTGCTGAGTGGCCATCTCTCAGGGCACGGTACAGCCGCAGGAAGTTCCTTCACCAAATATCACCAAGTTTCCGAAAAATGGCGTTTCCGAACACTGGAGTTTCCCACGGCTTTCTCAAAAAATAACCGATTTATACCGATTTTAGATAATTTTGGGATCCCCGACGACAACCCCTTTAAACTCATCGATTGCAGCCAAGCGCACGGGGCACAGGAGCGCTTGGATATGTTCTTCAGTTTCAGCAACGAGAACATGCCAAATCGCCACACCAGCTTCCTGGCGAACGATTCCAATCTCTTCGCAGCGATCCAAGGAGCAAAGATCCTACATACTGATACTCCTAGGTACCTGCAGGGTACAGTACCAGTAGCATATCAAATCATGTCAAACACTTCTGTCAATGGATTGGTCAAAGCGAAACATCTGCAGGAAACCCATGGTTTTCTTGTTTTGCATGGTTTTTACATTGTTTTTTTTTCAATCCATAAAATAGGGATATCCTTTGTTATCCTGTGGATTTTCCCATCCAAGTCGCCATTGGCTCAGCAATTTGGCAGCCCACTTCCAGCCGCTGGCTGCCTCGTGCACGCGGCAACAGAAAGCGAGCTGGATGTGTCACCAATCAGTCAATCATTTCACCAATCACTATATAAATTATAAATCAGATTAAATCAGTCAATCAGTTGTCAACCAGTCAATCAGTCAACCAGTCAATCAGTTGTCAACCAGTCAGTCAACCAGTCAATCATGCTGGAAAAAACTGTTGGATGTTTGCTTTCAGGCTACAGAACTTGCCGTACTGAAGAGAAAGCGGGTGCCGTTGTACACAGCCAAAGGCATGTTGCACTCAGACCTCAGCACCCCTCAGCACTTGGGATAGCGGAACTGGGACACAGTATCTGTTTCTCAAACCTGATCTCGTCGGGATAGTAATGCGATATGAACGGGATATTGGTGGAATAGATTGTAACCAACAATATCCAACTATCAATAATATCAGATTTGGGTCGAACAGTGGGTATAATTACACTCAAATTTCCAACAAAGAATTGCATGATTGATGATTGGATTCACGGGTAGCCTATTTGGACAAACTAATATCTACTGTTGAATGGTACTTAAATATACTTAAATGCCTTCTGCTTCTAACAACGGACTAGCCATGGCCAGCCATGGAGAATTTGAGCATCACGCAGATCAAACTTCTTGAGGTTGAATCGATTCATCAGCGCCTGGCAGAATCGCGTCACTTCGAGTGCAACTTTCATTGCCAACTTGATTATGGAACGAGTGCGGACACTAGTAGTGTAGTTCGTAGATGTTCGTAGCACTCATGCAATGTGCAGTATCCATGGACCCTTTGATGATTCATCATGTCAGCGAGAAAGCACCGGCCCATAGTGGCCGCATATGCCTTAAAAAGCACGTTCACCTCCGAAATAATCGATGCGCCAGCCTGGAATTTCGAGAAAACATCTTGGCGACTTCAATTCCCAGTGCACAGCTTGTTCCTGACATTTCTTTATATATATTATCTGAAAGGCGACTGGATGGCGGCAGTGTGTTCTGCTGAGTTTCAAGTTTCAACCCTCCCAAGCGATAACCGTAACCCTTCAAGCCAATGTGGCAGGGATACAACTGTTGTTGTTGTTGTTGTTGTTGTTGCAAATGATGATGATGATGATGATGATGATGATGATGATGATGATGATGATGATGATGATGATGATTTGAGACACTTTGAGATGCTTTGAGTTGGTGCTGCTGTGATTTTGTGGATGTCCAAAGCCTCATAGCGGGCTCCATCGAGCTCAACCGCCTGAAGAGAGACTTGATAGACCCCAGAGGAGGACCTCGCTAGCATTCTGCTAAGAAAAAAGGTCCTGAGTATCAAAACATATCAAAACCTGGATTCACCATTTGTGATGCTTTTGTTGGGCGACTAAAGAATTCTCTCAAGATGGAAGTGACTTAGGTGATTAAAATCACACCTATCAAAAATATAACTCGACTTTTTTTTACCCATTGCCATGATGAATTTCACCAAAGCCTAGCAAAAGCAAAGACTGGAAAGAGCACATGCCTTTCTTGCAAATTATCCATCTATGGATACCACTGGCAGTTCTTGGCAATTTACTGAGAATACATGATCGAATACATAGGCCTTGTGAAAGGACCCAAAAAAACCGAAGAATTGGCCTGGCATCGTCCACCAACGGGGCCGTTGGTGATGACCGCTATATCAACCTGCGACTAGGGACCAGGACGTTTCCTTCTTTCCGTCGGCAAATTGAAAGTCGTTTTAGATGTGAACAGCTCTTCTTGTCTCTTCTTGTCATTTCATGTAGTGGCCCCGGAAAGGCCAATATTCGCGCAATTGGAAGTGTCTGGAAGAGTATGCATCCCTATTTTTGCTCAATCCAGCACACGCAGAATGGGGCTGGCTCGACTAGTTCTGAGTATTGATTAGGGAATGGATCAAAATTGAAACTCCAGGGGACTGCAGATTCTGTTCATTTTCAATATTAAGCATGCGATTTTAGCGGTATCTCATTTTGACCCATACCCATTAGTCATTAACCTACTGTAGCATCAGAATCGTCCAGCACGCAGAAGCCAACCTTGGACTAAAGCTGAACCAAGCTCAAAAACACCGTCAAAAACTTCCGGCGTTATGCGCATAACCCTGGTCGGCCTCTGCTGCGAACTGAACACGACTCGTGGCATGAGGGCCATGGCCCTCATGGGCTAAGGGTTGTCTCCATTCCAGGGGCTAGATACCCGCCGGGAGGAGACCCAGCTCATCAGTGGCCGGGGCCCCTGCGAAATTGCTGGAAAATAACTCACACAATGCATTCACAACAAGCATCAAAACGCTATGTGAGGGCTCTGTGTCCAAAATCCACAGAATAGCACAAAAAACCATTTGCTTAACAAATGGCAGCTGGACTCTCAGAAAACTGTACAGAACCATGTAAGGCTCAGCTCACTACGCAACAGAGACCAGGGCGGCTCCCCAGGTTTTGCATCAACCACGGGTTTCTGAGCGCTTCTTCTGAACCACACCGAGCTTCTTCTAGAGATATCATCTGTTTGGCCAAGGAAAGTGCACCATAACCAAGTTTCGATGTCCATGTCTTTTCATTCAAAAGCTCCTCTGCGGCTTCTGTGCCTTTGGATCCTTTGATATCTTCCAGCGACGACCGAACATACTCCTTGCCCCGCACAAAAGCGATGAAGAGTACTCCAGTGCTGTAGACGTCACATTTCTCCGTGTATTTCCGTTGATCAATCTCAGGCGCTCTGTATGGCAGTGAGCCAACTCTCTCGGACATGTGATGGCCAGGGTCGAAGTCACAGGCAAGGTCGAAATTTGCCAATTTCCAGGTCCTTTTTGAAGACAGCAGCCTGAGTCATGGACTCTACTTCATTGTAAGACAACAACACGAGCATCCTCATCATCCTCATCATCCTCATCGCTCACATACCCGCTTTTACAAACCAGGAAAAAGAAACTCTGAAACTATCCAACGATGCTTCGAGCGGTTTAGAGATTTTTGGTGTCAAGTTGGTAAACAACATCTAGAATCCAAGCCAAGATGCACATTGCACGGCTTGATGTTCCTATGTGCGACCTGAGGGATCTCTAATTCAACTTTTCCCAAACGAACCATTGCAACCAGATTTATGATCTCAACGTATTTGAGTGCATTTGACTTGCACTCTAAATTGAAGATAATTGAAGCAACATCATTATAGGTTACCTATGATTTGACTGAAGCTACCAGCTGCTTCATACCATTGAATCTTCATGGTTTTTACATACTTTTACCAGGCCTGTATGAGTATATACATACCCCAGTCAGTCTCTGCCGTCATGCAAAATCAGGAACGATTGCATTTCCTGGATCAAAAAAAACCTTCAGCACACTGCACAATTTATCGCAATGCAAGTGTCAAAAGACACGTTCAACATTTTCCTGGATCCAACAGTTCAACACCATGATTGTTACAATGCCCATGAAAACACCCGGATATTCATTGATATTTGACAATATTCAACCTTTCCAAAAGCAGTGGGAATATGTGGGAATTTGTCAGTGTTTCTAGCCTGGTTCTCATGGAGGAAATTCACAGCCATCAACAGCTGGGACAGAGTCTTTGCCACCTCTGTCCGACTGGGCGTGCGATAGCCCGAAGTGCCCGAAGTGTCGCGTTGGGAACCAATGCAGTCTGCCATAGTCCCCGAGCACAGCTCCAGCATAATGTCCATGACCCCGGCTGCCCAGTAGACGTCATAGATGCGCAAAATGTTGTTGTGCTTCACTCGACGTAGAAGCTGAATTTGCAAATCACAACGGGGATCCTTGTCCAGCTGAACCTGCTTCCAGGCGAAATGTTTTCTTGTTCCCTTCTGCTGCACTTCCTTGACTTCAGTGAACCTACCCTTGCCAAGTGTCTTTATGACTGTGTAGCCCTCCTCAACCTCCTTTGAGCAAGCTGTAGAATCGGAGTCTGGGCTTCCAATAGGCATTGGGGTGTAGAATATTGGCCGATGGCAAGGGTTCTCAACCGCGTCAAACATCTTTGAGCAAAAAACGTCAGCGACGGAAATTTTGGGATCCCTTTTGAACTACAAATGATCTACATGGTGTCGAAATGTGTCGAAGAGTCCTATTGCACCGGAAAAATGAGATCATCCCACAGCGCACCTGATCCCCAAAGAGGTCACCTTGTGGCGCAATGGGATCAAGTCGGGATCATGCCGTGATGGGGAGGACCTGTTGGAAAAACATGGAACATGTTGAAGAAACTTCACATGACATATTGATACAAGTAAACAATACCCATCAAGAACAACTTGACATATGATTTGAAATGATTCTAAAACGGCAAACACATGATATCTCGATGAGCCAGTGCCATTCTAATCACTGAAGTATGTTCGTAAATCTGCAGGTCCCCAAAAACGCGGCACATCAAGAAAACACGTTGACAAAACTACCCAGACATGTTCGATAAAACACCAGGTCGTGGAACAGGATCCATTGCTGAGATTGTTGGACCGACAATTTATAGATGTTGCATTCATCATGGTTTATCTTACGCACTGGTGTACCGGTTTAAGTACCCTTAAATCAACTGGCTATACATCATTTACGCATCATTTCCGTCTCAAATTCATATTAGATGATATTAGATGGCCAATTCCAGGGATAATTCATGGGACCGTTACTATTGGAATACTGTTGGAAGCACGTCAGCACCGTCCACCAGGTCATCCCATGGATTTCCTGCGAGTGGCGCAACCAAAGTGCAAGCGCACTACCACCCATGCCGGCGCCCAGGATAGCCACCTGCCGTCGGCAAAAAGGTCAAGCCTACAATGGGCGTAAATTGTTGGCAAAAACTCTTGAGATTCAATGGACATATGCTACCAGCTGCTACCATTTTGACCCATTTTGTTTTGCTGTTTCATAGAAAAGACTCAATCTGAGGCAAAATCCTACTGCACGTATGTCCTATGTCATTCTTGAAACCCTCATGGTGGGTCATGGTTGGTCATAGTGGACGCCGTGCCTTCAACCGCCGGTTGGAACGCAGTGCTTCAGCGCGCTTCACATGTCCGTCTCCACGGCCCAACAACTCCCTGACAGCATCATGCTTGAAAAACCGAAGTACAGGACACCAACCAACCACACTGCGCACAATGACACTAGCAACATTAGCAACAAAGGATTGCGATCGTTTCAGCTTGCCTCAAATCTGGGTTCAAAATCCTGTAAATGTATTGAAATTGAAATCATAGTACACACTCTCAGTCTCCTGTTGTCATGGTTTCCACCCTCCCTCAACTGGCTATTAAGTCAATGATCCCATACTTGCGTCACTGGCCTGATCAATGCGACCACTGATTCGTTGTAAAGGGCCAGCACAGAGACAGAGACCAGGAGAGCCAGGCTGAGAGCGGGAAACGTCGGGGAACGTGTCGGGCAAACGAACGACTACTGTGAAAGAGATGAATAGTACAACAAAATCGGAATCGTAAGTATTAATATTAATCCATAATCCAACATTCCATGTTTCAAGGGCCATTTCAGGTACCTAAACTGGAGGTACTGTACTATACAAAACCATATTTTGGGGGTATATCCCGTTACGTAGCCCTTATATAAACATCGGATATATATATATATATATGGTAATTAGATGTAATTAGGTACCTAAAATTTAAGTTCCTGAAATGGTCACTAAACGTTGACCAAATATGATGTAGGCTACAAGTGTGCACAAGGATCAAAAGGATTATTGATTCTCTGAAGTACAGTATCTATGAATATGCGTAATTAGTATCTATGAATATGCGTAGATAGTATCAAAATGTTCAAATACTATGTTATGGTGGCTACGAAGGTTGTAGACCAGACCAGTTTTCCCCGTAGCCAGGCCTGTCTGCCCGCCACAAGCGAGCCCAAGCTTTCATCGCCGCCGGCAACGTCAACGGCTGCTGCAACCAAAGGATGCTGTAGTATGCGTATGCTCTTTGGTGCGAGTTGTCTTGGTGTGGAATTTCGATGGATTTCCCCAAAACAACAGCTTGGACGAGCAGCACTGTGTGTCCAAAACCTGCTATCTAGCATCTGTTTTTAGCGTCGCGAACTCTCCAACACAAAATGCGAACTCTCCAACACAAAATATGACGTAGGTTCCAAACTGCGAAACAATTGCTAGTCTATGCACTTTCTTTCCTCGTGTCCAAAGTCCCGCATGATTGATTGGCCAGTTTCATAATTTGCTTGCCTCTAATAAAACATGCTGCAGATTCAGTGCAAGAAAATAAACATGGAGAAAAACTGAAATCCATGCAATTTCTGCGCCGCCCTGCCCCCCCCCCCCACAGGACGAAACTGCAAAAAAGGCAATTTCCTTACAGCTGAGATTCATTTCTTTTTATTTGAGATTCGGGGGTGTATCACGTTGCATCGGTAAAGGGCCAACAATTTGCCAAGAGTGAGTCATACTCATGCTCATCTCATGCGGATTGTACCCTTGTTCCAACCTAGTGCTCTGAATCGCTCAAACCATGGACTTTTTAATGCTTTTCTCAACTTAATAAAATTACGATTCTGTCTTTTTTGAAAGAAAAAAGGGTATACTGGAATGGGGGCAGCGTTCAGTGACTCAAGTCTTGCTACGGTAAAGCATCTATATATTTGAATCTATTTCCATTACCCGACTTGGAGCCTAAAATATCTAGGCCCGTTGGAATTGAATTGCCAAAATGGAATTCCTGAAATATATTGAAATATACTAAAGCACCATAGGGGGATCCCGGATTTCATGTTTTTTTACACGACGGTTGGGGGAAGTTCAGTTCACATCTTCACATCTTCACATCTGCACACATCTTCTCTCTCTTTCTCTGTTCTTCACATCTTCTCATCTTCACATCTTCTCTCTCTCTCTCTCTCTCTCTCCCTCTCTCTTGCCCTCTGTCACGGTCTCTCTCCTTCTTTTTCTTTTCTCTCTTGGGGAGGTTGGGTCGTGAGTTCCCAAAGTATCACTCTGCATCCCAAAGTATCAAAAGATTGGACCCCCAAAAAACGAATTTCTCCCAAAATCCAAAATCCATCCAAATCATTAGACATTTTGGGTTCCTTGATGGGGTGCCTTTCCAAGACAATTGTTTCACCAAAAACATCACGTAGAAAGTTGCAAGTTTGGGCTTCTTCCAAGACGACGCTTTAATATTTTTGGGAATTTTAGTTACATTTTCACGCTGATTGGCCAGCAAAGAAAAGGGCCTATAATTCTTCTGTGGAACTCTCCTTCCTAGAATCCGGGGACCATAATCACCGGAACCCTGCCAAAGGCCCTTACAGGTCCTGCCATTCAATGAAGGAATGAACAACTCATCATAATCAAACTTGTGCAAAGGTTAGTTGATTGTAAGATATTGATATTGTCTTGTAAAAGTTTGGGTTTCTAGAGACAAATTCAGTAAACTCAGTCATTGAACAACCGCCTGCGACCCAATTTTGGGGTCCTTAAAACTGGAGGATGATTCAATGTCGAATCTCAAATGTAAAGAAATGAATCTCATTTGCAATGACATTGCCTGAAAAGAGAAAACCCAAAGAACAGAATCTATTTTGGGTTGACGACAATGGGGGCCTACAATTTTCCACAGGCACCAATCCATGTGGCCTTATGTTTGCACTGTTACATTTTTCCTGGTTTCGATGGTAAATCATCTTGCTTTGCAAGTGCTTCCCTATCGTGACGCATTCCAGCCCAGGTCTGGGTCTTTGAATTCAGCAGGCTATGTCCTACGATTCATGATTTATATTTGGGATAGTCGGTGAATGTCTGCGAAATGTGAAATCTGACCATGTGTGACTGTTGACATCTATTGACATCTATTGATTATTCCACTTTATTCCACTGTCATCATGTTTCAACACTGCCTGCTTGCCTCAGCGGCAAGATTCTTCGCTTCGTCGGCCAAAAAAAATCCGAGGTCCGAGTTGGTGCAACTGTTGCAGCTTCAACTCGCTGGTGCGCTGATTCACAATATTTCACGCTTGATGACAGGAGGGCCAACAGAAACTGAAGGCTTAAACTATTTCAAAACCAAACAACATTCAACTGCAATCATTTGCTTTCTTGCTTACATGTTCGGATATGTCTGGTAATTCTTGATCCGATCATATCCGATCCCAAAATCTGAACATTCAACCAATTTGGATGAATTTGGATGAATCTGGAAAGCATGTGGAAGCGCTGCTGTTATGGTTCGCAACGAATATGATTCAATTCTATCTGATGTATGGCTAGTACAGCATCTTGAAAGTGAAAAGTGTTGATAGAATTTATATCATGTCTCGCGCACACGGGTGGACTTGACTCCACTGCCTCTTAGCCACTGTGCGTCCACCATTCGGTGGGAGGTGCAAACTCCGGGCAAATCTTAGTGTTGTTGTTCCGCCTTGGCTGATCTCTGTCATCTATGTTTCTGATTTGGCCTTGTATAGCAAATTGTAGCGATTGTAGCATGGTTTACCCTACGAGTACACATATAGAACCTATAGATAAGTATGGGGTTGGTGATCAGCTGAATCAGCTGACAATATTATAACAATAGAATTGACCATATTGACAACTTTCATGCAAGTCTTGCCAGTGCTGATGCCTGATCTAGCTGCTGTGCTAGTCAAACAGATGCCCCCTTCGCCTGCTACCCTTCAGCAAAAAAAAGACACTACGAGATTGAGCCGCTATGTTCAACTGGCTCCATCTTCGCATTCAGTCTGACACTCAAACCACCATCCACCTCAAAGCTGCTTCAACAGGACAAAACCACAACTTGAACAGAACAAAACATCCCAATTCAAATGCTCGGCTGTGATCAAGAGAGATCTGAAGGATCCCTGATGTTTTGCCTGACAAAAATAGAGGTGACGCTCTGCTCTGCTCCTGTAGTTTGGGTCCAAGACGTCACACACAGTGCAGCGGTGGCAGAGTTGTCGGAATCTTGCTCACATCAAGGCCCAACTGGATAATCTTCCTGGCATTCTTCCTTAGAAGGGGAATGGATAGACAATGAGCATTGTATGCAAAGCAAGCCCGAGTCTCCACAAGTCTCCGAGTCCCCGTCCTCAGTATATATATTTTTTTCATACTTTGCTATATTTTTGATCAATTTTCTAAGCTATTCCGACCTCGCATCCATCCACTTCCCATCACTTCCCCTTCCCTGCGACTTGCTGCACACTTGATTTATGTCCCTGAGCAAATCGAGGCACATCTTTGACCGGGGTATCATCACTTGTGGGCCTCAGTGCCAGCTAGAGGAACCGGTGCCATGGCCAATCCGGAACCCCAATCTTTGGAAGAGACCACCATTCTATGCATTTATATTGGCACGTATTGACACCAAAAAATCTAAGGCTTCAGTCGGCAACTTGTATATATAAATATATATATATATACATATCATAAGACACTTTCCTGTCAAGGAAGTTACCTTACCTCCGCACTCTTGTTGATAAGGCTCAAACTTCAAGGGCAACTGCCGCTTGAATGAGTCCAAACGTGGTACTATGACTCGGTCCTCTCATAATATGAAGCATGTGACCCCCTCATACTGCGAGCACTTTTCAAACATTACCTGATTCATGCCTTCAGACTTGATCGTCTTGATCCTCCATATCATCCAGCCTGTAAAGCTCTTTTCAACAAGCGAGATCAGTCCAGAGGATTATGATGAATCCTGATTAGGTTGCTTTTTGAAATGTCATTGCTCCACTACTGTGACCTGGTCTATGACATACATTGACATATTACTTTTCTAGGTCTGAGTGGGGAAACCTCCTATATACACGTTGGAAAAGCAGGTGTGCATTGTCAACCGAAGCGTGGACAAAATTAAGATTAGTCCAGCCAACAACAAGCATTCGCAAGGTGACATTTGTTGTTTTAATCAGTAAACACGCATGTGTTTACACGTTTGCAGCATTAACGTTTGCAGCAAAAGCACACGTGACCCTTTCACGAAAACAAACCTCCCTCATGCCTCTGAGGCCACAGATCGTAATATATTGTAACAACCCGTAGAAAGATGTATCCAAAGAGACATCAATGAATGCCGTCTATTGATAATTCCATAATATTCCATATATTTCCCAAGGGGAAGAGCACATCTAGTCAAGCCATGTCAATTCCGTGCTGGCTATTCTCCGGCCAGCAACTTGCCATCTTGACAGTCGCAAACGACTCGTCATTCCCTGCTCCGATCGCCGGCAGAAATCGTGGGGTTGGCAGATTTTTGCTGCGATGCTCTTGGAGCAAATTCAATGCATGGTGCCTCAGTGCATCATCTCGTGGCACTTGCGCTCAATCCGAGCACGGTTTCTATCGGTTTCTTTCCTTCGCAGCTCTGTAGTTGGAGCTTATCACAGTATCTAATGACAAGCAACATCAATGCAACCAAAAGTGTAGATAGAGAGTGGTCAAGTGTGCAGTAAGCAGTACTTAAGTATACTATAGTATACTTAAGTAGTACAGCATCAGGCTGGTGAAGTGAACAGCCATGCTCTATGGCGAGATCAGACCTTTCTGCAGTTGAAAGGCATCAGCTGCTGGCTGCTTTCTTGCGACAATGCCACATCCATGCCACATCGATTGAAGTCAGCAAGCGCCTGGAGATACGTTCAGCCACTCATAGAGCCCAGTGACCCAAACGTGCGGATCCAAACACACGACACATAGGACATATCATCATAAAATTGTGAACGCAAGAAACTTGTTCGCCTATATTTTTAAAGAAGGTCTGCAGGGCGACAAACAAAAAACAAAGAAAACACATCAAGAGACTATAAACATGGAACAAGCCGAGAAAGCTTGTCCATTCCGATTCAAACATGCAGGAATGGAAACGATGTGGGCAAACATGGTAAGTTACGGTAAGTTGGCAAATATCAGTCCTGCAGCACTTTTGCCACGCGCAGTATCCGGCTGACTTGAGGTTTTCCCTTCAACAAGGATACCAACGGTTTCAAAGCTCCTGCCAGGCCATTTGCATGTGGTTTCAAAAACACAAGAAAAGCCACTGGTGCTGAACCAACCGAATAACAATGAATAACACACGCATAGATACAAAGAATGAAACAGAACAGATCAAGAAATGCCTACATCTAGAGACAGGTGGAAACATGAACACTCAAAGCCAGTGATAGGAGTAGAATGTCGAGCAACATGCTTTCTGGCTTTCTGTCACAACACGTTCCTTCAGCGCACGCCCAAGATAATTCCTGTTACACATTATAATATAACAGAAAGGGACGTTGTGGAGGCCCCATTTTTATGGTGTTTGGAAAAAGTCACTAAAAAGCATCTTTGGTCACTATATCATCAAATGCTCATTGTTTTAATGATCTTTGTAATATGTTTAATTGTTTGGCTTAGGTCATGAAGATCAACAAAAAAAGGTTATGTTTCATTCTATATTTGCTTGTGCTAGTAAATGCCAGTATACAAACTTAGAAGAATTTCAAAATCAATTATAATTATACTTACATTTTCTAATAAATCTTAATTTTCAGCCATATCAGCCGTAACATTAATTCCAACATATTTTAGTACTGGATGAATGGCGCGGGTCCAAATCCTCTTTCCAAAATCGCGGTTCCAGTCTTCTCCGTCGAAGCCAGAATGCAAAGCGCTCGTGAAGCGTTGGAAGAACCTAGTTGGGTTGTGGTTGTGATCATGACCATGCAGCTTGCCTTTGATCCAAAGGATGAAAACAACTCCTGAAATGCCTTAGATTGCCTTAGGACATCCCAATCTCTCTGGTAGTCTTGGTATGCACTTCTGCGCATCCACAATGCAACTGTTTTTACCGACACTTTGTCAAATGCAGTCGCCGTGAGATGGCTACCGCCAAGACCCAGGCAATCATCATGATGAGAACCGAGCAAATCCTCGGCAAAACGCGGGTTCTGTGTGCCCTTTGCCCGGATTAACAACCACCATTGGTGGCGATCTCTGCAGTGCTGCTGTTTCTGCTGGTAAAAGTCTTTCAAAAGTACAGTTGCTGGAAATGGCAGCAAACGGCTTTTGCCCAGGCAGCTTGGACGTGTAGTGTGTAGAGCCTATAAAAATGTGAAAAGTGAATGAACACTCGGCCTGCACCAGTTGGCCAAGGTGCCAGCAAAGGCTCCAGGACTTCTGCTTCCAGTAGGTGCATGGAAATCTTCTTGAAGAGCCCTTGGCTCAGACTCACATCTACTGCCGAAAGCGGATTCCTCCTCAATATACAAATACACACCTTTTCACCATGCAAGACCTATAACAAGGTGCACGTCTGTGCAAACTCTAGCATAAGTTTAGTCTGAGTTGTGCAAACCATTTCGCACGACATCACACAACCATGCACACACACACACACTCATGCAAACACGCAGTCACACAAACACACTAAAGTTTCACTAAAGAGTCTTCCTTGCAGGAGAAAATGAAATGTAAACCTCAATGGCCGTGGCACGTTTATCCGTTGCATTTGCCAGCTCACCAATGGCACTCGCAGCTGCAGCTTTGCAGTCGTAGGTGCCTTCCTTCAGCAAACCTCCGTTATCTACCAAGCCAACAGCATGAACTGCACTGTGTTGAAGTGATGCTCGTTCAAATCGTTCAAACATACATTGCTGTACTGTAGCTTTTCCTTGACCAAGCTGCGATTGAGTGGTTGGACCATCTCAGCTTCCTCGGCTGGGAGACCACATGGCTGCAAGGCACAGGTTGGAAGCACACTACGGCAAGCGAAACAGCCATAGGTCCCATAGGTGAAGCGCATGCCACGGAACCCCATATCGAACCCCAATATTGATAATATTGAATCTCATTACTACATTACTCCTTGCATCTCCTTGCCATTGTCCAAGTTGCTACTAAGACTTGGCGTCGGTCATCTGCAGTTGCAATGCGCGAAACTGCAAAAGCCGTCTGGAGACGCACCTTTGGAGACAAAAGGATAGAAATGATAGTGACAACACCAAGCCTGCCTGCGTTGAAATAATGAAAATAATGAAACACCGCCGGAGAGTCGGAGAGTCTTCCGGAATTTGGCCAAAGATGTTTCGCAGCAAGGTGGTCCTAAAGGATTCTAAAGGTATGTTATGGGCCAACGTCTTACCACAGTGTCAAAGACATGACGTCAGCCAGCGTGAGCAGGAAGTACCTCTGGTAATCACCATAATCACACGCGATCGGTTGCAACAATCTTGCTCTGTTTACCACTGGAGTTGTTCCCTGCTTTGCTGTTTGATGCACGCGTGAGAGGACTTCCGCTGATGGAACCAGTCCAATATTGTATGACAGTGGTGATGAATGAACATGTGCTAAGTAGTGGTTGTTGCTCCCAGAGGGGCTTGAGAAGGAAACCCCTTGCTTCCAATCCAAAGCCTGCCAGCTTTGCACCAAGGTACGTCATCGTTCTTATCTTGCAGAAGCTGACGAAGTCTGGTCAAAGAAGCCTCCATGAAGTTGTCTGCCACATCCTTTCAGATTCAATCGTCAAGATTCCAAGGGCACCCTGGTCGTTGCTTTAATCTGCAGTGCTAGGCCGTAGTGCTTCCCCTACTGCAGTGCATTATCTTGTGCAATCAGAACTGGCAGAAACGACAAATCCCAGAGTTTTCCAAGAATTCCGCGACGGTTATACATACACCGTCACCTAAAGACTGGCCTGATCTTCAGCTAGGAAGCCCATCAGCTGGATCTTAGCATGAGAAAATGGGTTCATTCATGTTCATTCACTCAAGGATTCTTATGAGCAGCCACTGGCAGACACGGGATGCATATGGATGTATATGGATGTATATAACTTGCCCCTCATCTCAATCCCTTATGCATCCTGTGTTGCCTGATGGCCACAATAATGCCTTTGCAAAATCCATTGCGTACACACGGCTGCTCCCAATACCCCAGACACAAGGAGGTAAAATGGGCAAATAGAAAGGTAACATGACTAATTTTCTCTCCTAGTGGCCATCATTCACCTATGGGTTGATGCCATTCTGGAGCGTTTGGAAAGTGGCACTTGCATCACTGGCCAAGCTACAGCATGCGAGAGGCTCTTTGGCGATGTGCTCTGAAGCAGAGCCATCAGCCACGAAACGATGCCTCCATCGTTCTAGACCACTTTGACAGGTGTATAATCGGTCTATACATGTACTATATTGAGCCATGTCCGAGGAAATAACCGAGCGCCAGATATGACCAAGAAGGAAAACATGGGACATCGGAAAGCCAGTGCTTGGCACCACATCAAGCCTGACATGTCACTGATATGACTTGACATGACCCAACAATCCGCTACAGACTAAACTCAGTGGCCTCCAGCGACCAACTCCTCACGCACCTCGACAAAGCAATCGCAGAAAGCACCCATCCAAAGACAAACACGAAATTATGACTCCCTCTCTCTCGCTCTCTCTGTATGTAATGTAATGCAGTGCAATGCAATGTGTTGTGATGTAATGTGATGTAATGTAATGCAATGTATGTATCTATGCAATGTTTTTATCTATGTCATGTATGTATCTATGTCATGTTTATCTATGTCATGTCATGTCATGTCATGTCATGTCATGTATGTATGTATCTATGTCATGTTTATCTATGTCATGTCATGTCATGTCATGTATCTATGTCATGTGTGTATCTATGTCATGTGTGTATCTATGTCATGTGTGTATCTATGTCATGCATTCATGTATTCATGTATGTATGTATGTATCTATCTATCCATCTATCTATCTATCTATCTATGTCATGTATGTATCTGTATCTATGTCATGTATGTATCTATGTCATGCATGCATGCATGCATGCATGCATGTCCGTATGTATATATGTATGTATGTACGTACGTACGTAGGTAGGTAGGTATGTATGAATGTATGAATGTATGTATGTATGTCATGTATGTCATGTATGTCATGTATGTCATGTATGTCATGTATGTCATGTATGTCATGTATGTATGTCATGTATGTATGTATGTATGTCATGTATGTATGTATGTATGTATGTATGTATGTATGTATTATAACCAGTGATGGCCTATTTGTGTGTGGCCACCCTGGGTATATAGGAACTATATGGGAAAATACAGGAACTATATGGGTAAATATTGGAACTCTAAACCAATATGTTGGAACTAACAGAAAAAAATGCAGGAACTTGAAAAGACTGGGTTGTGCTGAAAGAATTGCACTTAGGTTCAGCCTTTTAAGCTGGCACAAACATTTACAGAGATGTGGGCATTCATATCCCAGACCCCGGGATCATTGATGATGTTGGAATCGAAATCATAAAATCTTAAATAGCCGGCTTATGTTCTAAACTATAACTAGGTAGTTTTTTCAAAAGATATGATATAACGTATGTATATACCTGTATACACATTTAAAAATGTATTGTATACAACAAAAAAGGGTAAAAATTATATGTGTGTAACTATATATATATATACACATATTCTAATGCAAAATAAATAAATAAATAAATATATATATATAGATAAATATATATATATAGATAAATATATATATATTGATATATTTAGGCTAAAATAATGCAAGAATCCAGTTTTGCGGGAACGGTCGCGACGGTTCCCGACTGTAATCTTGAATGCAGCGTGGAACGGTTGCGACGGTTCCTACACTATATCTTTTTTGCAATTTCCAGGAACGGTTCCGAACGGTCGCAGACGGTTCCGGATTATATCCGTTTTTTAAGGGCTATAGCATGGAACGGTCGCGACGGTTTCCGACTGTAATCTTGAATATAGCATGGAACGGTCGCGACGGTTTCTGCCTTTTAGCACGGAACGGTCCTGACCCCTAAATCATATGTTTGTTTCTCGTTTTATCTATGATCCAAATATTTTTTCAGAACATGCTAGTTTCAAATTATCAGCTAAAAGCTACAAGTTGTAAGTTTTTTTCCCGAGAGCGTCTGAGCGCAGGGTTCTTCCAATAGTGGGGGTCTGTAAAACATCTTCTCATCTTCACATCTTCTCATCTTCACATCTTCTTATCCTCACATCTTCTCCTCATCCCTCATCTTCTCATCTTCTCATCTTCACATCTTCTCATCTTCACATCTTCTCATCTTCACATCTTCTCATCCTCACATCTTCTCCTCATCTTCTCATCTTCACATCTTCTCACATCTTCTCACATCTTCTCACATCTTCTCACATCTTCTCACATCTTCTCACATCTTCTCACACCTCCACTCACATCTTCTCACACCTCCACTCACATCTTCTCACATCTTCTCACATCTTCTCACATCTTCTCACATCTTCTCACATCTTCTCACACCTCCACTCACATCTTCTCACACCTCCACTCACATCTTCTCACATCTTCTCACATCTTCTCACATCTTCTCACACCTCCACTCACATCTTCTCACACCTCCACTCACATCTTCTCACATCTTCTCACATCTTCTCACATCTTCTCACATCTTCTCACATCTTCTCACACCTCCACTCACATCTTCTCACATCTTCTCACATCTTCTCACACCTCCACTCACATCTTCTCACATCTTCTCACATCATCTCACATCTTCTCACATCTTCTCCTCTTGCCCTCTTGCCCTCTTGCTCTCTCCTTCTTTTCTATTTCTCTTCTGAAGGCGGGGGCAGGGCAGTGCAAACGAGACGGCACGAAACGCAACCCTTTCGCACGAAATGAAAGTCGATCGTCAAAAACTGAGGTAAAATTGCGATTTGACTTGTCCTGGAGCAACCCTTTCGCACGAAATGAGGGTCGATCGGCAAAAACTGAAGAAAAATTGCGATTTGACTTGTCCCGGAGCAACCCTTTCGCACGAAATGAGGGTCAATCGGCAAAAACTGAAGAAAATTGCGATTTTACTTGTCCTGGAGCAACCCTTTCACACGAAATGAGGGTCGATCGTCAAAAACTGAGGAAAAAGTGCGATTTTTCGATATTTTTCGTGTGCCGGAGCAACCCTTTCGCACGAAATGAGGGTCGATCGCCAAAAACTGAGGTAAAATTGCGATTTGACTTGTGCCGGAGCAACCCTTTCGCACGAAATGAGGGTCGATCGGCAAAAACTGAGGTAAAATTGCGATTTGACTTGTCCTGGAGCAACCCTTTCGCACGAAATGAGGGTTGATCGTCAAAAATTGAGGAAAAATTGCGATTTTTCGTGTGCCGGAGCAACCCTTTCGCACAAAATGAGGGTCGATCGCCAAAAACTGAGGAAAAAGTGCGATTTTTCGATATTTTTCGTGTGCCGGAGCAACCCTTTCGCACGAAATGAGAGTCGATCGCCAAAAACTGAGGAAAAAGTGCGATTTTTCGATATTTTTCGTGTGCCGGAGCAACCCTTTCGCACGAAATGAGGGTCGATCGGCAAAAACTAGGTGCGATTTTACTTGTGCCGGACTTGTCTGTGTGTAAAAGCGCCTGTGTGTAAAAAGCGTCTGTGTGTAAAAGCGTCTGTGTGTAAAAGCGTCTGTGTGTAAAAGTCTCTGTGTGTAAAAGCGTCTGTGTGTAAAAGCCTCTGTGTGTAAAAGCGTCTGTGTGTAAAAGCGTCTGTGTGTAAAAGCGTCTGTGTGTAAAAGTGTTTGTGTGTAAAAGTGCTTGTGTGTAAAAGCCTCTGTGTGTAAAAGCGTCTGTGTGTAAAAGCGTCTGTGTGTAAAAGCCTCTGTGTGTAAAAGTGTTTGTGTGTAAAAGCGTCTGTGTGTAAAAGCGTCTGTGTGTAAAAGCGTCTGTGTGTAAAAGCGTCTGTGTGTAAAAGCTTCTGTGTGTAAAAGCCTCTGTGTGTAAACGGGTCTGTGTGTCAAAGCGTTTGTGTGTAAAAGCGTCTGTGTGTAAAGGCGTCTGTGTGTAAAAGCGCTTGTGTGTAAAAGCGTCTGTGTGTAAAAGTCTCTGTGTGTAAAAGCGTCTGTGTGTAAAAGTGCCTGTGTGTAAAAAGCGTCTGTGTGTAAAAGCGTCTGTGTGTAAAAGCGTCTGTGCGTAAAGTAAAAGCGTCTGTGTGTAAAAGCGTCTGTGTGTAAAAGCCTCTGTGTGTAAAAGTGTTTGTGTGTCAAAGCGTCTGTGTGTAAAAGCGTCTGTGTGTAAAAGTGTCTGTGTGTAAAAGCGTCTGTGTGTAAAAGTCTCTGTGTGTAAAAGCGTCTGTGTGTAAAAGCGTCTGTGTGTCAAAGCGTTTGTGTGTAAAAGCGTCTGTGTGTAAAAGTGTTTGTGTAAAAGTGTTTGTGTGTAAAAGCGTCTGTGTGTAAAAGCTTCTGTGTGTAAAAGCGTCTGTGTGTGTAAAAGTCTCTGTGTGTAAAAGCGTCTGTGTGTAAAAGCGTCTGTGTGTAAAAGGGTCTGTGTGTAAATGTGTTTGTGTGTCAAAGCGTCTGTGTGTAAAAAGCGTCTGTGTGTAAAAAGCGTCTGTGTGTAAAAGCGTCTGTGTGTAAAAGCGTCTGTGTGTAAAAGTGTTTGTGTCAAAGTGTTTGTGTCAAAGTGTTTGTGTGTAAAAGCGTCTGTGTGTAAAAGCTTCTGTGTGTAAAAGCGTCTGTGTGTGTAAAAGTCTCTGTGTGTAAAAGTGTCTGTGTGTAAAAGCGTCTGTGTGTAAAAGCCTCTGTGTGTAAAAGTGTCTGTGTGTAAAAGTGTCTGTGTGTAAAAGCGTCTGTGTGTAAAAGTGTCTGTGTGTAAAAGCGTCTGTGTGTAAAAGCGTCTGTGTGTAAAATCGTCTGTGTGTAAAAGCGTCTGTGTGTAAAAGCGTCTGTGTGTAAAAGCGCCTGTGTAAAAGCCTCTGTGTGTGAAAATGTTGTGTGTAAAAGTGTCTGTGTGTAAAAGCTTCTGTGTGTAAAAGCCCCTGTGTGTAGAAAGCGTTTGTGTGTAAAAGCGTCTGTGTGTAAAAGCGTCTGTGTGTAAAAGTGTCTGTGTGTAAAAGCGTCTGTGTGTAAAGTCTCTGTGTGTAAAAGCGTCTCTGTGTGTAAAAGTCTCTGTGTGTAAAAGCGTCTGTCTGTAAAAGCGTCTGTGTGTCAAAGCGTCTGTGTGTAAAAGCGTCTGTGTGTAAAAGCGTCTGTGTGTAAAAGCGTCTGTGTGTAAAAGCGTCTGTGTGTAAAAGCGTCTGTGTGTAAAAAGCGTCTGTGTGTAAAAAGCGTCTGTGTGTAAAAAGCGTCTGTGTGTAAAAAGCGTCTGTGTGTTAAAAGCGTCTGTGTGTTAAAAGCGTCTGTGTGTTAAAAGCGTCTGTGTGTTAAAAGCGTCTGTGTGTTAAAAGCGTCTGTGTGTTAAAAGCGTCTGTGTGTAAAAAGCGTCTGTGTGTAAAAGCGTCTCTGTGTAAAAGCGTCTGTGTGTAAAAGCGTCTGTGTGGTAAAAGCGTCTGTGTGGTAAAAGCGTCTGTGTGTAAAAGCGTCTGTGTGTAAAAGTCGCCTGTCTGTGTGTAAAAGTGTCGCCTGTGTGTAAAAGCGTGTGTGTAAAAGCGTCTGTGTGTAAAAGCGCCTGTGTGTAAAAGCGTCTGTGTGTAAAAGCGTCTGTGTGTAAAAGCGTCTGTGTGTAAAAGCGTCTGTGTAAAGGTTTGTGTGGAAAGCGTCTGTGTGTAAAAGTGTCTGTGTGTAAAAGCTCTGTGTGTGGTAAAAGTCTCTGTGTGTAAAAGCGTCTGTGTAAAAGCGTCTGTGTGTAAAAGCGTCGTGTGTAAAAAGTCTGTGTGTAAAAGCGTCTGTGTGTAAAAGTCTCTGCGGGTAAAAGCCTCTGTGTGTAAAAGTCTCTGTGTGTAAAAGAGCCTGTGTGTAAAAAAGCGTCTGTGTGTAAAAGCGTCTGTGTGTAAAAGGGTCTGTGTGCAAAAGCGTCTGTGTGTAAAAGCTTCTGTGTGTAAAAGCGCCTGCGTGTAAAAAGCGTCTGTGTGTAAAAGCGTCTGTGTGTAAAAGCGTCTGTGTGTAAAAGAGCTTGTGTGTAAAAAGCGTGTCTCCATACTAACAACAGAAGACTCTGCTCCTCTACGCTCTCGGGCCGTCCGTCGTCTAGTGTGTACAGCGTGCTTTAAAAGTTATTTTGATATATGAGTTGGTGCGGCCACATAATATAGTAACTACCATAATTCAGTGGTATAGCCAAAATAGTATAGCCCACAACAACCTACCCAAAATTCCTTTAAGAATACGGGTGGGATGGAAATCATCAGCAACATGAACAAATCTGCAAGTTGGTTCCTGCCAGTGATGAAAGAAATGCATCATCGATGTTCTTGGTGTAGCTGCGGGGGGTCACCCGGAAAAAACATCACAGGGAAGGAGGGCCCCGTGAATTAAATCAACGTGCCCCTCGATTCCAAAGACCAGGCAAATTCCAAATCTGGTTTTCCATGCCCAAACGGCTTCTGTATCCCTGGATCTCTTCAAAGCTCTTCCGGCTCAATTTGTGGCCCCGTAAAGCCACATGTCAACCATACCCCTCCAATGCCCAAAAATGGAACCGTAGAAACCGTAGAAACCGTCGCGACCGTTCCTGGGGTCAGAAAATTGCAAAAATTGGCTAGGAACTATACGGAAAATCTCAGGAACTATATGGAAAATCTCAGGAACTATATGGAAAATCTCAGGAACTATATGGAAAATCTCAGGAACTATATGGAAAACTTCAGGAACTGTATGGAGAACCTCACGGGCGATATTGGACGCACTAACTGCCTGGCAAATATCAATCTTCAAATTCGCATGCCCTCTGAACATCTTCATCTACACCCGTTTGGATGTAAACATCACTTTCCAGCACATGGGGTACGCCAGTTCTGTGGTTGGGGGTGAACAAAAACAGCCCCATGCCGACTCTGAAAGCTAGAAACTCTAAACTTCCAACTTTGGCCTTCCGATCTGACCTGTTGTTTCCTTTCCTTAACTTGAATTTTGAACCACATCACCACATCACCAGATCACCACATCACCACACCATCATCATCAGCAGCAGCATCATCAGCATCAGCATCAGCATCAGCATCAGCATCATCATCATCATCATCATCCTCGTCCTCATTCTCACCCTCATCCTCATCACCTCCTCATGGTCATCATCGTCATCCTTGCTCATGGCTCTTCCTCAAATGTCACATAGATCACAGGTCGTAACAAACCGTACAGCAATCATGTCAGTCGCGAATGGTCAAAAGTTTATAACAGAGGCATCTTCACGATTCAGGCGGGTACAGCCGAGTTCAATTTTGGATGAAATGTTGCTTGTCATTGTGCGTTGTATGTCGTCAATGCTTTCCGTACCCCATTCTGCCAGCGACGTCGTCTCGTATCACAATTTGTGTGATTTGTTACGTTATTTCATCCAACTTATGTAAAATTCAGAATGTGCAGTTGTTATGATACGTGGTGGTTTTGAAAAGAAAAATAATAGTTCCGATTCAGATTTCAAACTTATGACTTGTCAAAGGTGTCAAGTTACCGAATTGAAAAACAGTTTAGTATGATAGAAGCAGTAATAACATTTTAAAAAATATTGCTACAATAATTATAGTACTGATTATCTATCACTTTTTGAGTAATATAGTAGAGTGTACAACCACGCATGCTCGGCCATTCAGAAGCTCAGAAGCCAGGAACATGTATCTAGCCATGTGGCGGTATGAAATATTCAGATGTAGGAAAGCATTCCCAAGTATCATGCACATATCATGCGCAAATTCCGATGCATAAGTTAAGTCTCAGTCACAGTCACAGCTCATAGTTGTCCCAAATCCAAAATAGTTCCTGAAGAACTCAATATGGTTTTTGAAGAATTCAATACAGTTTCCAAGATCCCATTTGGATACGTCACAAACCCCTGGTTAAATAGGCCAACCCTGGTTATAATGTATGTATGTATGTATGTATGTATGTCGTGTATGTATGTCGTGTATGTATGTCATGTATGTCATGTATGTCATGTATGTCATGTATGTCATGTATGTCATGTATGTCATGTATGTCATGTATGTCATGAATGTCATGAATGTCATGAATGTCATGAATGTCATGTATGTCATGAATGTCATGAATGTCATGTATGTCATGTATGTCATGTATGTCATGTATGTCATGTATGTCATGTATGTCATGTATGTTGTCATGTATGTCATGTATGTTGTCATGTATGTCATGTATGTTGTCATGTATGTCATGTATGTTGTCATGTATGTCATGTATGTTGTCATGTATGTCATGTAGTATGTCATGTATGTCATGTAGTATGTCATGTATGTCATGTAGTATGTCATGTATGTCATGTATGTCATGTATGTCATGTATGTCATGTATGTCATGTATGTCATGTATGTCATGTATGTCATGTATGTCATGTATGTCATGTATGTCATGTATGTCAGTATGTATGTATGTATGGATGCATGCATGCATGCATGTATGTATGTCATGTATGTATGTATGCATGCATGTATGTCCTGTACGTACCTATGTCATGTATGTATCTATGTCATGTATCTATCCAATCTATCTATCTACCTAAAATCTATAAATCTATATATATGTATATATTTAATAGAGAAAACTAAACACTATATACCTATAGATCTATAAGTCTCTATATATAACTAATCTAATCTAATCTAATCTAATCTCATCTAATCTAATCTAGTCTATCATCTAGGTAAGGTAAGGATAAGGTTGAGGTTGAGGTAAAGGTAAAGGTAAGGGTAAAGGTAAGGTAATGCGCTGCACTGCAATTAATGTCATGTCATGTATGTGCGCAGTATAATATGAGCCATGAACTCAGGAGACTTCATGCCAAATCAGACCAAACTTGAGGTTTGTAGGCAACGATCCTAATGGACTTTGATATTTCTTTTCTTGTCCGGCCTTCTCGGTAGAAACGATATTCAGAAGCGCGGCCATCGACTCCTGCTGCGGGACTGCATAGCATTTGCTTGAACTGCGCAGGCTCTGCGAACATCAAGACATATAAGACATTATAACTTAAGACATATCCTGAGAACCCTTGAGACCCATGAGGTGTCCGCAGTTCCTCCTTGCAGTATGCAGTACCTTCGAAGAAAAGCTGCATCAAAGACTGCACACCACCTGGCCGGACACCAAATCAGCTGCTGTTCATTGCAGTCTCAGTTGTGCCTGCTCCGGCTCCTGGCACCGGACCTGAACTGATGAGGATCTTTTTCCCAACGGAGCATTGCCCCAAGTTCCACAATGCAGCAGCTGCCTGCAAAGCAATGCTTGCATCGTCTTGCATCATGCACCAAGGCATACCAAAGCACAACACCAACCCTCACCAAGACATATAGGCTGGGCTGGAACCTAGAAGAAAATACATGCTGTGATGACTATGATGACATATTTCTGCATTCGCAGCATGCAGCTCAGTTCTATCAGAGCTTGGTTGTGCCATTCCTGGGGTCAGGTACAAGCTCCTACAAGTATCGTACAGTATTTGGTGTGAACAAGATTGAAGTCATGAGAAATCCAGCTACCTTGCATCGTGTGTCCATCGATCCATCCGAGAGAAGCGACACCAGCGGCTGCACAATTCCAGCAGCCACGAAGCGCGAGCGGATGCCTTCAGAAGTCCTCAAGAAGAAACATCTTCCAGCTTTTCGGAAGTCATCTGCAACAAAGAGGAGACAATTCGAACCTGTTTGAACCTGACAGATAAATTTCTCTGGGAAGGACATCCCTTTGGAAGTGGGAAGTAATCAAGACTCCGCAAAGAACAGCTACGAGAATGTGCTGGGCAGCGACTGCAAATTGCTTTCCAAGCCACAGAATATTCTCCAACGATGCTACCGCATGCGCAGCTTCTTCAGTGGTCCCCCAAGTGATGGCTTGCACCTGGACAAAGCTTGACAAATGACGTCCTCATGGATCTTGTCTTGATCCAAATTTCAAACAGTATTGGAACACATTGCATCTACAATCTACACGTTCCATGAATTTCCATGAAACATCCACATATTCCTGGAAAAAAACACGAACACATGTATAATAAATAATTATAAATACAACTGCACGTATATTCATGAACAATCATGAGCACGCAAAATGAAGATACGGGTCAGCCATCGCATCGCATATGCATATGTAAAATTATTATAGATGCATACGGGCATAGATTGACTTTAGTCTAGTGGGCGTGCAAATCTTGACCTCAGGACATTCCGCAAAATGGCCTGGACCCTTGGTGACAAATGCTTGCATATGGTCATCAACAAATGGAAATATTGCAATATAATTATTTTGCAACTGACAATATACAGGAGGATCTTCAGGTAGGATGCTCACTCATTCGACTCATTTTGGGAAGGACAGGATACCAAGGCCCAAACGACATCACGAGGGTTGCTACCTTGGCTACCGTGGCTCCACCATGCTGCACTTCGATAAATCTTCCACCCATTTGCAACGTCAGGTCATGTCAGGTCAAGCTGTCAAGCTACTGTCAAACACGACCGGCTGTTTCTTTGCCGAACTGGTGTCCTGCCAATCACGGCTGCGCCAGCAACAAAATTGGCTTGCATCGAAGGAGAGACCAAGCAAGACTGAGAGAAACTAGAGAAACTCTGTAGGAGGAAGGTTTGGTACAGAATGGAACATCAGAACAAACACTTCTCACCTGGAAGACGGGTGGGACAATGAGCTCCTTGGTTCAGCAAGCATACGTGGAGTACATGGGTCAGTCGCAGCAAATCATGGCTGCAAACAACCACAGGCTCAGAGCATCCAGTTTGGTTGTGAGCCACGAGACAGATCAATGCGTTTCAAACAGGACGTCACCAGCAAGGATAATTAACAGTGTCTATATTCTATATGAGTTGCTATTGGAACAACATTTCGGGCCTGGAAATTGTGGGAAAAAACAAAGCAAGTGCAAGACAGTGCAAGACCGTCGATCCACAAGGACAACAAACAACCTCACAACAAACTACGAGAGCCAATAGCAAGCCTATCACCACCGCAAGGTGGCAAAGCCCAACCAGAAAAGCAAAGCCGACCAGTTCCACCAACCGCCACCTCCAGCAGAAAGAAAGAAAGACAAGAACAGTAAGATGAGGTAAAAAGAATGATGACAGCAGGAAAAAGAAAAACAACAAGATAAGGAAACAACGAAGACACAACAACCAGCAACACCAAAGCAGCAAACATCATCGCAACATTCACAACAATCACAACGTACCAGCCACAACATAAAACACTGTATACACATGTATACACAGCATACACAGCGAAAGTGCTTCACAGGGGCTAGCCGAAGAGTGCCAGCTTTTCGACCTCTCAGCATGATTACAAGGCCACCATTGAAGCCGCCAGGACTGACCTGAATTCACTGTTCAGTTGATGATTCAATGGAACTCACCACAAAATCACTTAATTGCAATATTGACACTATTCCCTACACCCAAATTGTATCAGTTTGTTACTTAGAAACATCCAAAGACATCCAGAGCACGACAAGATGGTGCAATGTATTTTAAAGTAATGCCTTTGTGTTGGCCTGCCCAATGACGATTCGCATCTCTAATTCACTTAGACTTGGGGTCGCCAGAGTCACAATTCTTTTGAACATTTTTGAACATCTTAAGCTTGCTGGAATAAGTGCTTGACGACCAGCTTTGCATCTCCTAGAAATTCCTTGGCTCACAAAGCAGTAGAGGATGGCGGTGGCGGGCCTTGTCGAATCCGAATCCGATGTCCAAGCTGTGGATCGGCGGGTCTTGAAGAATTTGACAAAAAGGATGGATAGAGGAGGGAACACATGGAACACATGGAACACATGGAACACATGGAACATCAAGAATGCCTGGATATCTGGCCAGCCTGATCCTGGCAGGCTTCATTCACCAATTTGCTGTCCAAAAAACGTCGTCTTTGTGTTCTTCTTGACTCATCACCTTGAAGTACATGGTCTCACCTGCACCGTTGGATCCGGTATCGGATGAAGAGCGAGCATTGGCAAGCTGCATCTATGTGTCTCTGCATGTGTTCAGGCATGTAGGATGTTCCTGCAATGCTGCAAACGTTAGGGGGAGGATCGGTTCTAAGCTTTCCCATTGAAAGTTGATGACGACTGCCCAACAGTTTCATCTGAATCACCCTGAGCAAACCCGGAAATTCCCTGTGCGAGAATGCGCCTAGTTCTAAGCCTTCAAGGTCCTGGAAGCATATTTTGCGACCAACAATAAACGCTTGGAAGCTATATGGGTTTGTCCGAACATGCGGCATACCTTGAAAATATCTTGACATATTTTGAATTTTCATGTTTTTGCGACATTTTGCGACCGTTTGCCTTCTCGGCCCTTGGACGCGTGAGACGAGGGGCATACAATTGATGGCAACTAGCTTACTGCCAGCTGAACAGCAGCTCCTGTGCTTCATGCCAGACTGGGTCCAGACTCTTCCACCTAGCAAAAACGTATTGCATCGTATGGCTTGGCAATGTGGCATGGCATGGCATGGCCTCGTCTCATACTGTATCTAACTGTGAAGTCTGTACCCCGGTGGTGGTTCAAGAGCGCCTGGTTTCTGTTCGAAAGCCCAGCTTATGCCTCCCTGAAACCTTGCAAACTACGTACCTGAGACAAGTGTAAACACATGTGACAGTGTAGCCAGTGTAGCATTAGTTTCTTCTCTTCTCATCAAATCTTGCTGGAAAAACCTTGCATCATTTGAGACGCAACACACCTTTGTTAACGTTATGACTATGATTAGGCAAGGCAGGACCACCTGGATTATGATTCTGCGGAGAGGATGAAAGGCAATCAAAATCAATCAAACGTATCATGTCCATTCACATGGGCACGGATTGGAATTGTCATCCAAGTCAGCTGCTCGCAATCCAATGCCTGGGGTTAAAGAGAGGTGGAGCTGTGTCTGAAGGAGGGACTAACAATCCTGCGCAATTTGAACAGCGATCTCATGATTTATTAGTATCTGTCGTATATAGTACAACTATGTAATCAATTGTAATCACACATCTTTACACATATGCCATATGATGTCACATGTATTTGCACATGGCAGTCTGAATCAAAGTGGGCAAGTCTCGCCACTTCCACCCATTGAAGCCATGCCACATGCAGGGAATGGGTTAAGGATCTGTGCATTTTGCTTCCGCTGTATTTCGCTGTGTCATTGCAGCGCTGAAAAGGGCGAGAGACCCAAGCAGGTTATCCTGTGGGTTGAGTGCACGACATGGAAACATTCTAACTTTTACTGGCATTTTACCAGCAGTGAACCCAGGAAAATGAAGGTTCGGTGTCCAGCATTGAATTCGTTACTTCACTCAAAGCTCAACTGATTGCCTGACGTTGTAGAATTTTGCCAGTCTGCTCAATGGATTCCAGTCAAAAATGTTGCGACCAGTTGAAATCAAGGCAGCGCATGCACTAGCAATACTCAGCACCAAGGCGGTTCGTCGAACTGATTCGATCACAAACTGAGGCCAAGCAATGTAATTGAACTTGTTCATGTTCAGCAAGTTCTCAGGGTTCTCCAGTTCCACATAGATGCCAAGTAGGGCCCAAGCGGCCACTAAACCAATCAAAGGGTCGGCCCTGGGAGCTGCAAATGTGAACAAGGCCACGATCACGGCAATACCGGCGAGACAAACCTGACTGTCCCTTTCAGGATCTTTCAGCAACCAAAATGAATGAATTCAAAACAAAACACGCAAGTGGCAGGTTCTACTGCAAATTAATAGCTCGGATCTGTGTTGGACAACATGGTCAGATTTGCTCAGTATCCCATGTCCAGGCCATAAAAGGGTAAAACATGGAAAACACATATCACCATCACCAAGCGCTGTCAAAGCACCATGGCTAACATCAGCAATGTCTCTTGGGATGACATGTTGTAATCCGCAAGGACGTTGATATTCAAGACACTCGCGGCGATGATCCATCCACAGTGCAATGAAAAAGGTGCCCTCAGCAAGAAGTACTCCTTCAGGGAGATCTCGGGCAGGAAGTCTGTGCGCAAGATACTGGTGAGCAGACTGAGAAGGATTCCCAGCATGCAAATCAATGCTTCCAAAATCCGGTCCTGAGCAAAGAAAAGCGTCCATGCCACCTGGAAGCAGCAGGCAAATATCCACCAAGGTGTGACAGTGTCAACCACTGGGCTGGTGCTGAGAGGGGGACACATCTGTGCCACAGCAAAGATGCCTTCCCAAGTGAAGATGGCTCCCCAAATGGCAAAGGCATATCCAGCTGGTGTAACCAGGCTCTGATACTTCTCGCTCAACTCTTCGTTGGTGGCGCCAAAGGCCCCAGTCAAGGAGCCGTAGGTGATACCAAGATTCACCAAATACGCCAGGATGTTAGCCCATGACTGCACCGGCAACCTGCAAACTCGCACATGACATACCTCTTTCTGGCAGAAAGCCGCAATCATCTGGATGTTGACTCAGGCCTTCAATCTATGCAAAATACACAGCAAGGACGGCGTGGGGATTGGGACGACATAATCTTGAACTGTCAAGGCGAGTCAGTCATGGAATTTTGGTCGCAAGAAGCTTTCATTCTTCCTGTATCAGTCATTCTCAGTGTGCAAGCACATCTACGGGAACCATGCCCTACCTAGACTATATCCGTATGTAGGAAGCAGTGGGCCATGTCCGATGCTGCTACTGCCACTTACTTGCTGCTGACGAGCAATCTCAATCTTGTGACTTGGTGCTTTCAGATGGTTTAAGAATGATCCTCCACAGAACCTTCTGAACACCTCAAATGGGCAGAAAAGACAACCCATCGAGAGGATTCTGCATTTTCCAGCCTCTTTTTGCTCCATCCATCATCCACGCAACAGCGGCAAAAGCAGAAAATCTGGGGCAGCTGACAGGTTTTCCCCTGGCTCCCCTTGGCAAAAGCGCCACTCATCAATGGCTTGTTTCCATCAAGTGGTAGCAGAAGTAGTTGCAGTACTAGCCGGCGCATCTGATTTGAAGCAGCTCAGCTTTAGGCGTTTGCACTGTACAATGAATTGGGCTGCGGATGATTTACTTTGCACCTGCGATGCGGTCAAATCACAGCGGTGGCATCGTCACTGGTCAAAGACTTGTCAGACGCACGCATCCTTTGCCATCCACTGCGAAAAATGGCAATCGAGGCAGCACATGCACTAGCAATACTCAGCACCAAGGCGGTTCGTCGAACTGATTCGATCACAAACTGAGGCCAAGCAATGTAATTGAACTTGTTCATGTTCAGCAAGTTCTCAGGGTTCTCCAGTTCCACATAGATGCCAAGTAGGGCCCAAGCGGCCACTAAACCAATCAAAGGGTCGGCCCTGGGAGCTGCAAATGTGAACAAGGCCACGATCACGGCGATGCCGGCGAGACAAACCTGACTGTCGCTCTCAAGAAGAACATCGACAAATTCCAAACCAAGATACAACAAGTGGCGGTCCATAGCAGTTTCTACTGCAAATTGAAAGCTCGGATCTGTGTTGAACAGTGTGCTCAGTATCCCATGTCCAGGCACAAACAAGATTTTTCCCACGAACTCGAATGCTCACACGTATGTGAATGGTACAGATGTCACGTACCTTCTTCCCCCTGTTACCGTACCGGTGTAGACTGTGGAGTGTGGAATGGAGTGGGGTGCAGAGTGTGGAGTGTGAAGACAGTGGAGTGTTGAGTGGGGAATGTAGTGTGTAGGGTGTGGAGTGGGGATTGAGGAGTGTGAAATTTTGAGCGTAAAGTGTAGCGTGGAGTACAAAGTGTAGAGTGTGAAGTGTAAAGTGTAGAGTGTGGAGTGTCAAGTGTATATAGAGCGTGAGGTGTAAAATGTAAAGTGCAAAGTGCAAAGTGTGGAGTGTGGAGTGTAAAGTGTAGGGTGTAGAGTGTAAAGTCTGGAGTGTGGAGTGTCAAGTGTAAAGTGTGGAGTGTTAAGTGCAGAGTGTGGAGTGTAAAGTGTAGAGCGCAAAGTATGGAGTACAACGTGTAAAGTGTAAAGTGTGGAGTGCAAACTGTAGAGTGTGGAGTGGACACTGTAGAGTGTGGAGTGTCAAGTGTAGAGTGTGGAGTACAAAGTGTAGAGTGTGAAGTGTAAAGTGTAGAGTGTGGAGTGTCAAGTGTATATAAAGTGCGAGGTGTAAAACGTAAAGTGCAAAGTGCAAAGTGTAGAGTGTAAAGTGTAGGGTGTAGAGTGTAAAGTCTGGAGTGTGGAGTGTCAAGTGTAAAATGTGAAGTGTAAAGTGCAGAGTGTGGAGTGTAAAGTGTAGAGTGCAGAGTATGGAGTACAAAGTGTAAAGTGTAAAGTGTGGAGTGTAAACTGTAGTGCGTGGAGTGTACACTGTAGAGTGTGGAGTGTAAACTGTAGAGTGCGGAGTGTAAAGTGTAGAGTGTGGAGTGTCAAGTGTAAAGTGCGAAGTGTAAAACATAAAGTGTAGGGTGTAGAGTGTGGAGTGTGGAATGTAAAGTGCAAAGTAAACTCTCACTATGTCCCACGCCTGCCACGCAATTTTCACAGTGTCACGACGTGATGCAGCCCTGTCAACGCGATTGGCAAACAGCACGCAACACGTCAGGTCTAAAGTGCTGCGCCTGCCACGAAACTTGGAAATCACCTTCTGAAAACGATGCAAAAGTATTGTGCCTGTCACACAGAGCGACTCTTGAAACGCGAATGTGACGAAGTGCCACGCCTGCCACTCAAAGCAACGTTTGAAACCTTTAAAAGTGACCACTTTTGCAGCATTCCCCGTAGGCACGGCCATGGCGACCTCATGCGAACACTTGCGAATGGTTGCGGACTTTTGGGAACGGTTGCGGACGGTTGCGAACGGTTGCGCAACGTCTAGCTAACACACTCTCAACCCCACACCCCCAGAGTGCTGCGCATTCGGGAAGAAGGGAAACACATGGAAACACAATGAATGGAAAAAACACAAATGACGGCCGCCACGTGCTGTCAGATGCTGTCAGGGCACCATGGCTAACATCAGCAATGTCTCTTGCGATGACATGTAGTAGTCTGCAAAGACGTTGATATTCAAGACACTCGCGGCGATGATCCATCCACAGTGCAATGAAAAAGGTGCCCTCAGCAAGAAGTACTCCTTCAGGGAGATCTCGGGCAGGAAGTCTGTGCGCAGAATGGCCATGACCAAACCGAGAAGGATTCCCAACATGCACACCAGGGATCCGGGAATCAGGTCCTGAGCAAAGAAAAGCGTCCATGCAACCTGGCAGCAGCAGGCATATATCCACCAAGGTGTGACGGTGTCAACCACTGGGCTGGTGCTGAGAGAGGGAAACATCTGTGCCACAGCAAAGATGCCTTCCCAAGTGAAGATGGCTCCCCAAATGGCAAAGGCATATCCAGCTGGTGTAACCAGGCTCTGATACTTCTCGCTCAACTCTTCGTTGGTGGCGCCAAAGGCCCCAGTCAAGGAGCCGTAGGTGATACCAAGATTCACCAGGTACGCAAGCATGTTGAGCCATGATTGAACTCGCACACGGCACACCTCCTTCTGCAAGAAAGAAGCCAACATCTTGCTGATGAAAGGCTTGAAGGTATGTGTAAAACACAAACGGAGGATGGCGCAGGAACTCAAGCTACCACAAAATCTTGAATTTGGAAGGCGGGTCGGTCAGAAAAATGGTCGTGCCAAGGAGCTCTCATGACATTTCCTGCCTCACTTTCTCTCTCAGTATGTATGCACATCTCAGGAAACGGTGCTGCCACTTACTTGCAGCAATCACTTGGCAATCTGATGATCAATCTCAATCTGATGACTTTAAGATGCTTTAAGAATGACATGATCCTCCGTAGAACCTTCCGAACACCTCAAGACAACCCATCGAGAGGATTCTGCATTTTCCAGTCTCTTTTTGCTTCATCCACCTCCTCTCTGTAACAGCGGCAAAAGCAGAAAATCTGGGGCAGCTGACAGCTTTTCCCCTGGCTCCCCTTGGCAAAAGCGCCACTCATCAATGGAATCTTGTTTCCATCAAGTGGTAGCAGAAGTTGTTGCAGTACTAGCCGGCGCATCTGATTTGAAGCAGCTCAGCTTTAGGCGTTTGCACTGTACAATGAATTGGGCTGCGGATGATTTACTTTGCACCTGCGATGCGGGTCAAATCACAGCGGTGGCATCGTCACTGGTCAAAGACTTGTCAGACGCACGCATCCTTTGCCATCCACTGCGAAAAATGGCAATCGAGGCAGCACATGCACTAGCAATACTCAGCACCAAGGCGGTTCGTCGAACTGATTCGATCACAAACTGAGGCCAAGCAATGTAATTGAACTTGTTCATGTTCAGCAAGTTCTCAGGGTTCTCCAGTTCCACATAGATGCCAAGTAGGGCCCAAGCGGCCACTAAACCAATCAAAGGGTCGGCCCTGGGAGCTGCAAATGTGAACAAGGCCACGATCACGGCGATGCCGGCGAGACAAACCTGACTGTCGCTCTCAAGAAGAACATCGACAAATTCCAAACCAAGATACAACAAGTGGCGGTCCATAGCAGTTTCTACTGCAAATTGAAAGCTCGGATCTGTGTTGGACAGCATGCTTAGATGTGCTCAGTATCCGTATCCCATGTCCAGGCACAAAAAAGGGAAACACAATGAAACACATGGAAAAACACAAATGACGACCGCCACGTGCTGTCAGGGCACCATGGCTAACATCAGCAATGTCTCTTGCGATGACATGTAGTAGTCTGCAAGGACGTTGATATTCAAGACACTCGCGGCGATGATCCATCCACAGTGCAATGAAAAAGGTGCCCTCAGCAAGAAGTACTCCTTCAGGGAGATCTCGGGCAGGAAGTCTGTGCGCAGAATGGCAGTGACCAAACTGAGAAGGATTCCCAACATGCACACCAGGGATCCGGGAATCAGGTCCTGAGCAAAGAAAAGCGTCCATGCCACCTGGAAGCAGCAGGCAAATATCCACCAAGGTGTGACGGTGTCAACCACTGGGCTGGTGCTGAGAGAGGGAAACATCTGTGCCACAGCAAAGATGCCTTCCCAAGTGAAGATGGCTCCCCAAATGGCAAAGGCATATCCAGCTGGTGTAACCAGGCTCTGATACTTCTCGCTCAACTCTTCGTTGGTGGCGCCAAAGGCCCCAGTCAAGGAGCCGTAGGTGATACCAAGATTCACCAGGTACGCAAGCATGTTGAGCCATGATTGAACTCGCACACGGCACACCTCCTTCTGCAAGAAAGAAGCCAACATCTTGCTGATGAAAGGCTTGAAGGTATGTGTAAAACACAAACGGAGGATGGCGCAGGAACTCAAGCTACCACAAAATCTTGAATTTGGAAGGCGGGTCGGTCAGAAAAATGGTCGTGCCAAGGAGCTCTCATGACATTTCCTGCCTCACTTTCTCTCTCAGTATGTATGCACATCTCAGGAAACCGTACTGCCACTTACTTGCAGCAATCACTTGGCAATCTGATGATCAATATCAATCTGATGACTTTAAGATGCTTTAAGAATGACATGATCCTCCGTAGAACCTTCCGAACACCTCAAGACAACCCATCGAGAGGATTCTGCATTTTCCAGTCTCTTTTTGCTTCATCCACCTCCCCTCTGTAACAGCGGCAAAAGCAGAAAATCTGGGGCAGCTGACAGCTTTTCCCCTGGCTCCCCTTGGCAAAAGCGCCACTCATCAATGGAATCTTGTTTCCATCAAGTGGTAGCAGAAGTTGTTGCAGTACTAGCCGGCGCATCTGATTTGAAGCAGCTCAGCTTTAGGCGTTTGCACTGTACAATGAATTGGGCTGCGGATGATTTACTTTGCACCTGCGATGCGGGTCAAATCACAGCGGTGGCATCGTCACTGGTCAAAGACTTGTCAGACGCACGCATCCTTTGCCATCCACTGCGAAAAATGGCAATCGAGGCAGCACATGCACTAGCAATACTCAGCACCAAGGCGGTTCGTCGAACTGATTCGATCACAAACTGAGGCCAAGCAATGTAATTGAACTTGTTCATGTTCAGCAAGTTCTCAGGGTTCTCCAGTTCCACATAGATGCCAAGTAGGGCCCAAGCGGCCACTAAACCAATCAAAGGGTCGGCCCTGGGAGCTGCAAATGTGAACAAGGCCACGATCACGGCGATGCCGGCGAGACAAACCTGACTGTCGCTCTCAAGAAGAACATCGACAAATTCCAAACCAAGATACAACAAGTGGCGGTCCATAGCAGTTTCTACTGCAAATTGAAAGCTCGGATCTGTGTTGAACAGTGTGCTCAGATGTGCTCAGTATCCGTATCCCATGTCCAGGCACAAAAAAGGGAAACACAATGAAACACATGGAAAAACACAAATGACGACCGCCACGTGCTGTCAGGGCACCATGGCTAACATCAGCAATGTCTCTTGCGATGACATGTAGTAGTCTGCAAGGACGTTGATATTCAAGACACTCGCGGCGATGATCCATCCACAGTGCAATGAAAAAGGTGCCCTCAGCAAGAAGTACTCCTTCAGGGAGATCTCGGGCAGGAAGTCTGTGCGCAGAATGGCAGTGACCAAACTGAGAAGGATTCCCAACATGCACACCAGGGATCCGGGAATCAGGTCCTGAGCAAAGAAAAGCGTCCATGCCACCTGGAAGCAGCAGGCAAATATCCACCAAGGTGTGACGGTGTCAACCACTGGGCTGGTGCTGAGAGAGGGAAACATTTGTGCCACAGCAAAGATGCCTTCCCAAGTGAAGATGGCTCCCCAAATGGCAAAGGCATATCCAGCTGGTGTAACCAGGCTCTGATACTTCTCGCTCAACTCTTCGTTGGTGGCGCCAAAGGCCCCAGTCAAGGAGCCGTAGGTGATACCAAGATTCACCAGATACGCAAGCATGTTGAGCCATGATTGAACTCGCACACGGCACACCTCCTTTTGCAAGAAAGAAGCCAACATCTTGCTGATGAAAGGCTTGAAGGTATGTGTAAAACACAAACGGAGGATGGCGCAGGAACTCAAGCTACCACAAAATCTTGAATTTGGAAGGCGGGTCGGTCAGAAAAATGGTCGTGCCAAGGAGCTCTCATGACATTTCCTGCCTCACTTTCTCTCTCAGTATGTATGCACATCTCAAGAAACCGTACTGCCACTTACTTGCAGCAATCACTTGGCAATCTGATGATCAATATCAATCTGATGACTTTAAGATGCTTTAAGAATGACATGATCCTCCGTAGAACCTTCCGAACACCTCAAGACAACCCATGGAGAGGATTCTGCATTTTCCAGTCTCTTTTTGCTTCATCCACCTCCCCTCTGTAACAGCGGCAAAAGCAGAAAATCTGGGGCAGCTGACAGCTTTTCCCCTGGCTCCCCTTGGCAAAAGCACCACTCATCAATGGAATCTTGTTTCCATCAAGTGGTAGCAGAAGTTGTTGCAGTACTAGCCGGCGCATCTGATTTGAAGCAGCTCAGCTTTAGGCGTTTGCACTGTACAATGAATTGGGCTGCGGATGATTTACTTTGCACCTGCGATGCGGGTCAAATCACAGCGGTGGCATCGTCACTGGTCAAAGACTTGTCAAACGCACGCATCCTTTGCCATCCACTGCGAAAATTGGCAATCGAGGCAGCACATGCACTAGCAATACTCAGCACCAAGGCGGTTCGTCGAACTGATTCGATCACAAACTGAGGCCAAGCAATGTAATTGAACTTGTTCATGTTCAGCAAGTTCTCAGGGTTCTCCAGTTCCACATAGATGCCAAGTAGGGCCCAAGCGGCCACTAAACCAATCAAAGGGTCGGCCCTGGGAGCTGCAAATGTGAACAAGGCCACGATCACGGCGATGCCGGCGAGACAAACCTGACTGTCGCTCTCAAGAAGAACATCGACAAATTCCAAACCAAGATACAACAAGTGGCGGTCCATAGCAGTTTCTACTGCAAATTGAAAGCTCGGATCTGTGTTGAACAGTGTGCTCAGATGTGCTCAGTATCCGTATCCCATGTCCAGGCACAAAAAAGGGAAACACAATGAAACACATGGAAAAACATAAATGACGACCGCCACGTGTTGTCAGGGCACCATGGCTAACATCAGCAATGTCTCTTGCGATGACATGTAGTAGTCTGCAAGGACGTTGATATTCAAGAAATTTGTGGTGATGATCCATGCACCGTGCAATGAAAAAGGTGCCCTCCGCAAGCTGTACTCCAGGAAGATCTCGGGCAGGAAGTCTGTGCGCAGAGTTGACCAAACCGAGAAGGATTCCCAACATGCACACCAGGGATCCGGGAATCAGGTCCTGAGCAAAGAAAAGCGCCCATGCAACCTGGCAGCAGCAGGCAAATATCCACCAAGGTGTGACGGTGTCAACCACTGGGCTGGTGCTGAAAGAGGGAAACATCTGTGCCACAGCAAAGATGCCTTCCCAAGTGAAGATGGCTCCCCAAATGGCAAAGGCATATCCAGCTGGTGTAACCAGGCTCTGATACTTCTCGCTCAACTCTTCGTTGGTGGCGCCAAAGGCCCCAGTGAAGGAGCCGTAGGTGATACCAAGATTCACCAGGCACGCAAGCATGTTGAGCCATGATTGAACTCGCACACGGCACACCTCCTTCTGCAAGAAAGAAGCCAACATCTTGTTGATGAAAGGCTGACGACGCGATTGCACGAGCAAGGCCCGGGAATCTAGGACTGCACTCCTTGAGGTCCAAAGGCGCGTCAATTGCAGGCACAAGCTGCGAAAGTGTGGGTTTGTCTCAATGTCTTCTTCCCTCCATGTGCTTTTCAATCCGTTCATTTCATTTCCTTTATGCTTTCTTTCCGTCTTCTCTGCTGATGTCTTTATGTCTGGTTTATCTGTCTTTGTGTTCTCATTGATTCTTTCATGTCCAGTCAAGTCTGTCTCTCTTTCCTCCCTTCATCAGCTTCTTCCTCACGCAAGAGTCTTGGATATGTGCAACGAAGGATTTGAGTTGCGAAACTGAAAGCCCCTTTTCAAGGGGCAAGTGGCACGCGAGCAAGGAAGGCAACCAACGAAGACTGAACAGCTCAACAATGTTGAGCCATGACCAGCAATTCAGGCTTGTATACATATCGCGTATGCACTTACAGCATAAACACACTTTCACATGAATCATACGAAGCACAGCAACTGCACGGCAAGCATGCGGAATGAAAGGTTGCTCCTGCACCTGCGAATTTACAAGTAGGATCTCTACCAAGCCAGGAAATGCTGAAGGCTCGAGGCCCATTGACGAACGCAAACAAGCAACCGTGACATCTTGTGGAGCCCAAATCTGAATCTCTTCCCTTGCGTCTTTCATGTCTTTGTCTCGTTCTATTTTTTTTCAACCTTTTCCATCCATTTCCACTCCCCTAACACCTCACGCCTTGGCACTCTCCATCTTAGCAGAACAGATTTGCATAATTTTGAATATTATATATTAAATATCATTGTATCATTAAATAATATTATTAATGAGCGTGTCCCAAACAGTTCGCTGGCGCCTTGGTGAATGAAGCAGCCACATCTGGTGATCGAAACCTCCGGTCTTCCGAAGCTGGATCGCCAGCTGTGGTCTCTGCCTTGGCACTTGGTAGATTCATGTATCAACGTGCGATTTCTCGCCTTGTTCTAATGATTTTGCACAGTTTTGATTGTCATGTTTCTGCAGGCACCCATTCTCCACAGTTGGAGAAATTACCTGTCATATATTCATATACTAGCATCTACTAGCGTTCGTTTCCCAACCACCTTGGCCCAAGGGCTGTTTGGCAAGCGGTCGCAAGCAAAGGATGTCTCTGCCCAAATGACCTCCTCCACAGCAGCTGGAAGATGGCGTCTACTTTTTTCATCTTTTATTTTATCAGCATGTCAAGCATTGCAAACTCGGTTGGACATCTGCCAAGTCGTGTCGATGAATCCCTTCCCATTTGTTCCGCATCTTCCCCCAACATTTCCAATGCATCAATATAGGTCCAGATGGCCCCACAAAATGAATATACACATACATCCAATATCATCATCCAATACCAAGGTTTCTGGGGATAATTGTTTGACACACACACACATATATATACAAAGTGTTGCATCAATTTGCATCACATCTACATTTTGACATACTTCGCCGCCCATTCAACCCTGCAGTTCAGGCCTCCCCATACAGATCTGGACCTATGCACCACCGCCTTTCCCCGAGGCGGTAGATGTAGGCCCCTCCTGGATCAAGCAACGCATGTCTAAAATCGTCTGCTTCGCCGGCACGAATTGGCAGTCCTCCAACCTTTTGGAAAAAACGTGGCTCATCTGCCTGGGTGTCCAAGCAAGACCACAAAATGCGTGAAAACTTAGGCTCATTTGCCTTGGGGAAATCTTGGGAAATCCAATTCTACTAGTAGCATTATTTCGCGAGATATCCACAAGCCTTGACCAGCAACGATAGCTATCCGACAGTCCAAGACTCGTCTTCTGGCTTTTTCTCCTGAAAGTTGCCCAGGCCAGCCCGTGCAGCGCTGTTCAGCCCCCTGTGCGCGGCATTTTGCATTTCTCGAGACATCTCAAGACCCTTATCTCTCCATATCTCTCCATATCTCTCCATATCTCTCCCTCTCCCCCTCTTTCTCTCTCTCTCTCTCTCTCTTTCTCTCTCTCTCTCTCCCTTTGTCTAGAATCGATCCAAAGTCTTAAAGTGATACAATAGAGATGTACAGATCCGCATCGCATCTCCATTGAACATGATCTTAAACTTCACCCATGCGAATACTGGACGCCCTGACTATCCGCAGAGCTGTTATCAGAAAATCCGCACCTCACGCAAGCTGCAGCAGGCAACTCCTTTGAACCTGGTGGGTCCGACGTTTCTTGACAATCGGGCGACATTTCTGCACCGAGGGATGTAGAATCCGATGATATCCCATGTAGCTGAGAAATAGATGATAATAGATGTGTGATGTGCCACGTGCAGGAGAGAATGACAGAGAGAGAGAGAGAGATATGATGAGATATATGTATGTATGTAACTGTATAACTGTAAAACTGCATAACTGTAAAACTGTATACCTGTATAACTGTATAACTGTATAGCTGTATAACTGTATAACTGTATAACTGTAAAACTGTAAAACGGTAAAACTGTATAACTGTATAACTGTAAAACTGTATAGATGTATAACTGCAAAACTGTAAAACTGTAAAACTGTATAACTGTACAACTGTATTACTGTATAACTGTAAAACTGTATAACTAACTGTATGTATGTATGTATGTATGTATGTATGTATGTATGTATGTATGTATATGTACGCCAAAAATACACAATAGACAAAACATCCCAACTTCAAATGGACCTTAACCAAAGCACTGTGATGATCCGAATGACTAGACATAACAGATGCATATTGTGTTTTTTTTTATGTTTCATACATTGAGGTACCTTTCTCACCCCCTCCAAATCCGATTGGCTACTGCCATTTCTGCCTTGCAGCCACAGCAAGGATGCGGCTTTGGAATACACTGTGGTGGGCCTCAGAGGGTTATGGCCAACCCAGGTCGCTCAGCAGAGCCGCAGCAAGGACATGACTCAGTGCCCAAGGTATTTCTATGTTGCCATGATTTGGTAGGAAGCTTCTCTCTGTGCTGCCAAGTAGCGCATTGGAGCTTTTCATTTCCAGTGCCAGGAAAAATGGTAATTATTCTGGGCCAAGTATAGCAGTGCAGGCATCACTCAATCATGTCCAGTCAAATAGATTACCCAGAATGCGTCAACATGATGGTGACTCATACATGCATGTAGCGCATCTATGAAACTTCAAGTTGACTCATGACCCCTTTGCCGATGGCTTTGTGAGGAAAGGAGACCCAGGGGATACTGTAGCGTTTACCATCATGTTCGTACGCATGACAATTCCTAACTTCCGAAGACATGTCTGAACATTTTGGAACTCTGCCGGGTCGAAGGCATGGGCAGCTGCCTCTTATCAATATGCCAAGTGTGTCTAGGTGGCGAATCGAAGCAACGTGGCCCATGGCCTGCAAACTTACCAAAGGGATGAAGCTACAAAGATCTACAAAAAGGACAATCCAAAAGTCTGCCTCAAGTTGCTTCAAGCTTTGACATCAGCACTACATTGTACATTCTGAAATTCCGGCTGCTAACTTGCGCCTGACCATCTGATTTTGCTATTTTAACTTCACATGTCATGTGTCCTTGCCGTCGCTAATGTTGCAATCATCCGAGTCAAGCTTGCCCCCCGCCAACTGGTTATCTCCTGCTAGAATTGCACCGCAGGAACACTGCAAGAGTAGGAGGCACTGACAGCACGTCTGCGCTACTCGCCATCCAGCAGCTTCAGACCTCCCCCAACCAGACTTTTCAGATCTTTTCAGCAGTTATATAGCCTTCTGTTGAGCGTACTCCTGGCCTCGCATCGCTCCAGACACAACCAATTATCTGGCTGCTGGCAAATGCTAGGGTCGCTAGGGCTGCGGTTGAGGTAGCCACTTCTCTCACTTGGTACTGTGCAGCACCTGTACCAAGCGACAATGATACCCGCATCATCCTTATCAATAGTGACTGCAGAGAAAAGGAAAGACTTCACCAAATCCACGATGATCCAAGCACCAAATGTTGCGATAATCTGTCTGCCATGAAAGAATTGAGTGCGCACATGCTAGAAGCAGCAGCTAGCTGAAAGACCTATATATCACTCGGGGCAACAAACGACCTTCACAACCAGCATCCACTGAAAGAGCTCAGTCAACGTCTCTTTCAAAAGAGTGCGACGCATGAATGGCCTCAAAATCCTGTAAATTAAAGGATCTCACATATCTCTTCTCTGGAAAGGTTCATGACCATGTTGGTCATCCTCATTTCTGCTCCAGTGGGACCGTTTAAACCTCCGGGTGCCACAGTGGCCACGTCCTTCCAGCTTCATCCAGCTTCACGTGCAGCGCTCGAGAAACAATTGCCAGGTCGCTGCAGGTTGCATCCCGCCAGTTGCTGCCCCAGCATGCTCCAGCTATCCGGTGAGGTAGAGTCGTAGCTGATTCAGTGGGAGGAAAATATCCCTGACATCCTCCTGGAAGAGGGGGCATCAGCTTCAAAAAAAGCACATGACCAGGCCAAAGATCCCAAGAGAAAAAAACAAGATCATACTGACATGATCATAGTCAAAGGATCCGTGCTTTCATGCCACAAAGAAGGGCATATCAGATATCAGACCTTCCTAGTGATTTTGCTTAAACCCACATGCGGCCCCTGCTCCTTGGATACTTGCTGCTTTGCTGCGTTCACTCCAACGGGCAATGTCCTGCCATAAAAGAGGACCAGCAAGTGCACTGCATGGATGCGGACAAAATCTAGGATCCCTGAGATCCCTGAGATGCCATGTCAAATTAAATGCATTGTAACTTGGACCTCGCTCTCGACCCGTTGTAGCAGAAAGCTGGCAAGGCCTCTGCCACCTCTGTGGTTGTACTTATTTTACCAGAATAACGAATGCTGTGGCTAGCCCATGAGAGCACCCTGTCTTGAAATGCCCCAGGGCAGTTTCCAGAGGCACTCCGTTCGCTTCCCCATGATACCTAAAATCTGCGAGAACGTAAGCATTGCTTGATCTGCAGTTCAGCTCTTCACTCGAAAGTCATCTGTGAGAAAGTGTAGTAATTATCCTTGTAGCATTCTTTGAATCTCTTTAACACCACTGGTCTGGGGTGCTGGCTCCAAGGTGTCAAGTCGTAGCAACAAATCTTCGTTCTCTTGGAGCGTTGGCGGTTTTGCCAAGCGGTACTTTGTCCCGGTCAAACGAGTGTAGGCAACGATGCTTGAGACCTGCACATCCTTTGGCGCGTACCTCGCACAAGATCGGGGCATCCGGTGAAGCATTGCAATCATTCCCATGTCTGCCATAGCTGATAGACTGGCCAACTTCTTTTCTTGTTTTTGCGGAGTTACATACGTGTCTTCCCCAGGAGCAGCAGCCGGCTCTGGGCAGAAAGCTTGCAGGATTGCACTGTGCCAGCCCCAGGCAGGACCTGTAGGAGGGCACAATGGAACATTGAAGAAAGTTCATATATATGTATCATTAGCAGTCAGAGCATGTCAGAGCATGTCAGAGCTCTGAGATGCTCTGAGATTGGATCAACAAATCGGCCATACAAATAAAACAAATATAGAAAGGACATGTATGCATACTGAAGAGGAAGATCTCGCTGACCTAGCTTGTAGACATCTTCTCAGCGTCGCTTGTGATTTCCCATGATCTCCCATGTCAAATCTGCTGCCAAGCCAGCGCCTGTCTAGTGCCATGTTGCGTATTGGTGTTAGTGAGGGCATATGCTTTGATCACGTTTGATCTTGCCAATTCCGTGCAACAGCTGCACCGATTTTCGAGTGATTCGATTGGGCCTCCTTCATAACAAAGACTTAAAGACACCACACATCTTCCATAAAGACACGCCTTTTCAACTGTCAACTTCCCTTGGCCAAGGCCATTGAGACCTATGCTGATTCTACGCAATTCCATTCATTGCCCTGCAAAATCTGCAAATCTCAACGGAAACAATCATTAACATGCACTCACCAAGTAGATCTACGAATGATGCTCTACGAGGCTTTGGGCCTGCCTTGCCACTGGCCATGTCCAGCAACACTGAGCCAGTCCCATGCTGCGGCAGAAGTGCCAGGTGCTTGGCAGCACCTTGGCATCATCCGGACACGTGCGAACTTGTTCATGTGCAAAATAGCCGCTGAAACGGCTGACAGGTGGCTTCGACATCTTCCATGAACCGAACACATAAAGATCAATGACCCAAAATAAACATAGATAAACTAAGTTTCAAGCGACGTGCCTGGCACGTCCTAGCACACTTCTTGGAACGTTGCCACAACATGTGACTCTCATGTGACAACTGAGGTCAATACGCTCCTTGACTTCTTCGATCTCCTGGCATCGGTTGTCGTTGGTCTCTTTCCATGCTCCCAGCTGGAATCATAAGGAGAAACTAGTGCAGGCGAAGCACGGTGTGAGGCAAAACCTCAACCTCTGTCACAATCTCGCTCATGGAGCATACCGTGAGCGTACAAGGCCGAGTGATTCCTTCAGTGGTTGTGCTGTCCTTAGATGCATTGATTGGTTCGCCATGCTTGAACCACGTTTAAACATCTTCTTGCCACTTCTAGTAGCAACAGCCCAGTTCAGTCAAACAAACATGAAAGAGTGTATGAACAGAACAAATCAAACCTCGAGATGCAGGAGAGGCACATTCGGGTCCAAATCGTCAGCTCCTCACATTTGATTTCAACATCTGCATTGCAGAATCTGGTAAAACAAGGTTTTACATGTTTTATGGACCTGCATGTAAGGATTGGCAATAGATTTGGGGTGAAATGCAAATGATTTGGGATGGTAAATGCCCCTATAAATATTTCCAGGAAATCATTATCCCATCTAACATCATTTAACTATTCCCTAAGTTCTCCCGGGGGCCATCCAGCCCCCAGCCCGCATCCCGCTAATCCTTTTGCCGTGGCATGATCCAAAATAAATCTACTTTTTTACTTGACACTTGATTCGGGGGGGGTGATCTACAAGTTTCGTCCGAAACTCACCTAAATCAGGTCATTTTGGAGTTCTATCTACGAGACCCAAATCAAGTAGCAAGTAAAATAGTTGATTTAAATGCTCTACTTTGTAGATGTCAACATTGGAATTTTGAAGTCCCAGATCTGAGCTTTTCAATTGAAATTTGTAGAGATTCCAGGGAAAAGGGATGTGTTGTAGATGTCTACTGCTGAAAATCACAGGCTGAGATCTACGACATGCTCAGCAAACCTAGGATTTAGGAAAGTTTCAATTGAAACTTGCAGAAGTCAACATCCATTTTTTGGACATGGAGATCTACAAGATCACCTTTTCTGCTTGCATTAGATTTGGGATCAAGACTTCAGGGGTCCTTGCCAAGCAATAGTACGCCACCAAGAAGTCAACATACACCATATCAAAGGAATATTTAGGCCCCCAACTCAATGGGCATCACAGATATTTACAAATATGTAGATTAGTAATAGTAGATCGTCAGATAGGTTTAACACTTAGGTCCCCAAGAAGTCAATGTATACTATACAAGTTTAGGTCCCCAACTCGATGGACACTACAAATATATTCAATAATGCTAGCCAAAATTGGGACCCCAAATCAAATGCTTTTGGCCCAAAATCAAGTGCTATTCCTTATGTGTGCATGCTTACTCATTTTAATTAATCTTAGCTAAAGGTTTCATAATGGATAAAATGGATCTTAATGGCCTTGCTACGCCATCTGCTATTCTTTGCTTTGCTTCGTGAAGGACCCCACCGCAGCTCAAATCCAAGCTGCGTAGCAGCGAGTCGAAGACGGAGGCTCCAGCTGTCTGCGAAGGTCCCGACTCTTCAGCGCCTTGGAAACGGCGCATTCCCAGCGCAACGTGCAAGTGGAGTCTCAACTCATGTGAGGCCAAACTTGTAGCAAGGGCGACCATACAAAGATGGGCACCATGGCCGGTACTGCCACTTTCGGCTCTTTCTGTTTGAAACAGCTGGCACACACGTTCAACGGCAATCGTCAGCATAATCAACATATACACTTTGAGCAACCGAGCCTTTCATGCAAGAGCTATTGAAAATCTGTCCTCACCGGCTTTTCAAGAGCAACATGGGTGGCTTATGAGATGCTATGAGCAAACTGCTGAAAATCTTTTGGGGACTGCACTCAAAATATCCTGCAAAGTGGACTGGAACTGACCCAGGGCATGGAAACACTTCCTTTTTGCCAAGCTTGTCAAGCCGTGACAGCTATTCGTAGCAACATTCATTTCAATATGCGGTGCTGCCTCCATGTGGGCACTGGCACCTCAGGTTCTATGTCCTCGGGCCAATCCATTGCTTCTAGATCCAACATCCATTCGTACTTTGTTCCCAGCAATGACTTCCGAATCTCTGCAGCAACTGTTGGAGGGACGGACGATTCTAATGTGTCATTCCTGGAGGCGCCACCTTCATGAACTTCCAGTTCGCTGCATTTGGAAGCATTCTGGTCGGGCAGCGTTTGGAGGGCAAGCCGAACACACTGGCACATGTCCACCACCATATCAGCAAAGTTACAAGCAACGACGGTGAAACCCAACTCCTGCTCAGCCCAAACTCATGGGTTCCAACCCTTCGCCCTTTAACCTTTCAGCATCCTTCAACATGAAACTGTGCTAAGAAAGGCCTAAGTAATAATATAGATCTAGCCTTAGCATAATATCTACATGTATAAATGTATTACACGACGCACCATATTTACTGTATACAATAAAAACCATATGTTTAAATAAAATAAAGTACAGTAATATATATATAGTGCAATAAAACAAAACATAACCAAGAATTAAAATAAACAAAATGTAATATACATCAAAAAGTTGGAAATTAGAAATAAAATGCAATATATTTTGTCAAAAAATAGTGCGATAAAATATCAACAAAAATATATACAAACAAAATGTAATAAAACTTGAAATGATCAAATATATCAAATGTTAATTTAATCAAATGAAATAATATGGTGTTATACTTTATTAAACTATATTGGGTATTCAATATTACATTTTATTAAATTTTATACGGTTATATTATCTTTTTCTTTTATATTGTATGATATTGTATTATATCATCTCATACTTCATCATATTCTATTCTATTCTCTTCTACTCTACTATATCTAGTTATTTCATATTATACCGTATCAGACTAAAGTTTACTATATCATATGATATTGCATTTTATTGTATTATAGTAAAGCAATGTGTAAAACATTATATGATATTACTTTTCCAAAACTAATTTACATATGGTACTATATATAAAAAATATCTCATGCTACATATCATGAATCATAATATACCAAATTGTATTGTAACATATGATGCATGCAAATGTAGCATGCACATGTCGCACACACACATACATACATACATACATACATACATACATACATACATACATACATACATACATACATACATACATACATACATACATACATACACACACACACACGCTTATATATATATATGCATGTATGTATGGTAGTCCCCCAAAAGATCTACCATTTCAGGGGTTGGCCATATTTATAAACAACTGTAATTCATCCATATAACAGAATATTGTAAAACTACATGGTTCACGGCTCATATTTCGCCGTGAGTCAAAATGACACTTCGGTGATGTGCATGTCGCACTCAAATCATCGCAATTACATGGGTTTCTGCTTGTCGTGTGAGTTCAATGTTTGCAAAAGTGCACTTTTTTCTCTTCTGCAAAATGCGAGTAAACTTGTCGGATCTTCACCAGATTTGTTAGATGCCGCAAGAAAGTCTTTGCATTCAAGTTTCCCAACATTGCTTTAGTATTCTTCTGAGGTCAGTGGGGGTTCACATAAGTTAACAAGGACAAATCTTAAATCTTGAATCCAGGAATCAAGATTCAAGATTCGGAGAAAAGCTTTTTGGATCCCACGCCTTAAGTCCTCATGAGGAAAGTGTTCAAAAATATGTAGATAGATAGAATAGATAGATAGATAGATAGATAGATAGATAGATAGATAGATAGATAGATAGATAGATAGATAGATAGATAGATAAGATAAGATAAGATAAGATAAGATAAGATAAGATAAGATGAGGTAAGATAAGATAAGATAAGATTAGGTTAGATTAGATTAGATTAGATTTAGATAGATAGGATAGGATAGGATAGGATAGGATAGGATAGGATAGGATAGGATAGGATAGGGTAGATAGATAGATAGATAGATAGACAGATAGATAGATAGATAGATAGAGACAGACAGACAAACAGACAGACATACAAATTGGGGCACCATAGATATAGACAAACTTGTGACACATGGAGGATACATGAAGGTTCTAGCACCAACAGGTCTTAGGAGGTCCTACGACCTCTTAGTTGTGTGTATGTGTGTATATGTGTATGTGTGTATGTATGTGGATATGGATGTGTAAATGAATATGTGATTATATCTGTATGTACATGCATATGTATATGTATATGTAAATGCATATGTGTATGTATATGCAATTGTGTGTGTACATGTATATGTATATGTATGAATGTTTGTAACATTTTGTAACTGTTTGTATGTATGCATATGCCTGTGTCTATATGTAGGTATTTATCTGTAAGCATCTGTATGTATGTAGCTGGATGTATATGTATCTCTATGTGTATGTACCTACATGCAGGCATCTATATGCATGTATACAAATGTAAGTATCTATGTGTAAGTATCTCTGTGTAAGTATCTATATGTAAGTATCTAGTACCTACATGTAAGAATCTATATGTATCTAATCTATGTATCTATATCTATGTATCAATGTACCTAGGTAATGCTAGGTTTAGATATCCATCTATCTATCCACAGATCGATCTCTCCAACCTATTCTGTTTTATCCAATCCTATTCTATGCTATTCTATTCTATCAGTTCTATCCAGAATATATCCAGAACCTATCTAAACTAATCATATCTAAACTATCTAATCTACCTAGCCTTATCTAATCTAGTCTTGTCTAATCAAATCAAAAGCAAAACTATGCAGTCCAATCCAATCCGATCCAATCTAATCGAACCGAAAATAATCTATCCTATCCTTTCTGGTATACGCTTTAGATGTGCAAACATCACCAATCTCTCTATATTCACCTATGCACCAGGTGCACACACACACACACTGACATACGTGCATCCTTTGATCAATATACACATACATACACAAATCATGTCGACTGCGTAAACAATATACATATCATATCACATACCGTGCTCCCGGCTTCAAACTAGTCCGATTCGAATTGGAACAGGTTCTCCTTGGCCGCTTTAACTCCAAGATTGTAAAACTTGCGATCGGCTTCGTAGCGTTCAATGAGACTGCGGTTCGCTTGGTCCATCTCCAATCGGTGCCGTGCCCAGTTCTCTATGCCCCCAGCTGCTGCAATCGCCCTCGACCTTAGATGCTATTAGAATTCACGTCTCTTGTATCTTCTTGATGGCTCCGAGGATAGAGGTGAGAAGAAGAAGGAAAAAGCACACATAAAAAAAGAAATAGAAAACACTAGCACATGGGCGCAATGTAGTTTGATGTAACTTGGCCTAGCCGCACATTGATGAATTGCCAGTCATTCTTGTAAGATGACACATCTCGCGCCAACTGGTTCTCACGAAAGCTGGCCACGACTATCCTGTAGCCAGCTTCGTAGGCAGCATTGAAGAAGTCGTGTGGTGTGCGCAAGTCGCTGTCCTTAGAGGTACAGTAAGAGCCCATGAGGGGCATTGGAGGTGGTAAGATGTGGCAAGCGCATGTAAGAGGTATCTCCAGTTGAATGAATCAAATTGTTTTCTCCAAATGCATGATTGGCCGCGACTTCTTGTCTTACAAGAGTTTCCCACCAAATTGTCTCATGAAAATGTTGCTCTTGCCAGAACATCTAGAACAATGGATTTCTCAAGGCATGTACTCCCAGCTGGTGATGTGTCATTCTTGTGGGCAAGGGCAACCTGCCAACTAATCCCAGGATATCCCAGGTAATGTATGGTATGGACCCAAGATCTTCATCCTATGCCGTCCCCGAGTCCCAAACTTGGTGACTCTTGTCCTGAAGGCCAAGTCCAAAACAACGTCCAACTGAGATAAGTGAACTGAATCTGACATGCTACAAATGCATGCGATGGCTAGAGCTTCGTGCTGCCAACAGCTGACATCCTTGAGCAAACAGTGTGAATATTTGTAAGATTTGCTTGCCAGGCTTCGACTGTGACCAAATGGTATGGCTTCACGTGGGTCAAACGCTGGCTTCTGTGCATACAAGTCTTGAGCGCGGAAGATGTCAAGCGCTGCTTGGTTTTTTCGAAGAAGAAGCTCTCCTCAAGTGCTCATGTGCATGGGGGGACAGTAGTGAAAGGTATAGTATCAATATGTATCAATTACAATAATTAATGATTTGTGGGGGCGCAAGCGAAGTGAAAGGTTTCCCTTGAACAAGTGATACCCCGCACTGCTTTCATTTGTTTCCAGTCAGTCTCCTTCTCTCCGTTGCAGAAGCTCAAGCCTGTTGTTTTTTGCAATGATTTCATGAAGGAGCCGGTGGCACTGCGGCCGTATGACCACATGACGAGACCAGGCAGCTCTGTGCTAAGACTTGCGAGTTTTGTATCCTTCTGCAGCAGAGCTGAACTCCGGCTGTTGGCTTGGCATGCCACACACTCATCAGCGATAGCTGTCGACTGCAGATTCGCTAAAGCAAACAACATTGGCATAAGTGGCACAAACATGAATGAAAGTCCCAAAGCCGCCATTGCGGCAAGACCGGCGGTCTTTTTACGGTAAGATGATCTGAGATGATCTGATCTGAAACACTGCGGAGCGCCCATGCATCTGCAACTTTGAGGGTACCACTTAGACAATGCAAGACAGCCAGGTCACTCCTTGCGCCCGCAAGAACCGGCTTCTGTGATCTGTTGAAACCTCTTGAAACCTGAATGAAGGTAGCCTGTCAATAGACGCAGGACGACCAGGTTTCAAAATGGCTGAACATAGCTCAACAATGCAGTTCAGCTCCTCCTGGTGATGCGAGGCAGAACGGATTGTGTAGTATGGAAACGTGACAGTTGTGACAGAGCATTCCGTTTCGGAAAGGGCTGTACGGGGTATGTGTCTTCCTTCGTATTCGTCCTTTATTACTTGATGCTGCTAAACTAAACTGGCTGACTGACAACCCGTATGATCGTATCCGACACTGTGGTGAAGAACAGCTTTGAGATGCTTGTGGGAGCAAGTGCTGACCCTCAAAGAGCCGAAACGAACATACAAAAGGATCGGACGGACTGGACCTGCAGGAAAATGATAAGGCCAACTCAGCGAACAAAAAAACACTCAATCATACTCAATCCAATTGCATGTTGATTCGCCGGTCTGAATGCACATGTTCCTTCCTGTTTCGCATGGCTGCGTGCTATGGTCTGCCTTCCCGCTTCAAACGGGAGGCCATAACCTTGCACAAACAAATGCCAGAGTCCTGAGGAGAATGCCAAACCCAACCCATTGGCATGAGATCTGCATATATCCGACTCTGCTAGCCCTGTCAAGTTCTCGGATGTTCTAGGGATGGCGTATCATGGCATATCGGCTCAGGACTAGCTTGAAGCATTTTGAATTGTGCTCTGTGCGTGAGAAAGATTGGCTAGCAACTGTGGGAATGAGCAGGCAGCAAAAGAAAACACAAACTTGTCCCAGATATCATGCGAACCATTGAGAACCCATCTGCTTGCAATCCTGGCCCCTCAGGCAATATTATAAGTGACATTCATCAATCCCACATCACTAGTTAGGCATATGCAACGCTGACCTTGACTTGAGCTCTCACTGACCGGCAAGTCATAGAAACGCTCAAGCCTCATGCAATGCGCACCTGTAGAGTCTGTAGGCAGCAAGTTGTCTCAACACACACTTGGACACACCCCGAAGGGAGAGGATGAAATGAGATGAAATGAAATCATGTCATGTTATGTTACCATGTCATGTCGACAAGGGCGGTTTATAGCTTAGCCACCTGGCCATATCCGAAATCAGAAATTTGCAGGTACGTTTTCACCCCCGTGCTGTCCGGTCTTCGTTGGCCAAGACAGACAGTCATGGGTTCCTGGCCCCCTGTTGATACCCTTTGACTCAGGGCTTTCCACACGCACACATGTATATATAAAACACTATATATATATATATAATTATATATATATATGCATGAACATGACTCTTTATACATCACAGAACCATGTAACCTATACTGTAATACTCTGCGTGTATCTGTATATATTATATGTATTACTGAATCAGTCATTAATATCCACATTTGCACGGCATTTGATCTGTGGAACCTTGCCAGGTAAGTCTCGAAGTCCTGTGTTTCGCTGTCAGTTTTAGCCAAACATCTCCTCCAATCGGATGGCAAAAAGAGAATAAACAGTCAGCTAGTCAGCTACCACTGGACTCGTCAATTGCCACCTTTACCACCATTGTCCCCACAAATCTTTGACAATCAGCACAGCATGATACGGCATGACAATCGCTTCGACAAAGGCACTTCGTTTCCTTTCAGCTCAGGTAGGTCCATCTTTCTGGACCCTGGGCCTTGGGCCGCGCAATGCCGCGCAAAGAGTGATTTCGTGAATTTCAGAAATGGCAAGACAGAGATGTGGGGGCATGGCGGCATGACTCAAGATATCTCAAGATCCAGGCAGAAACATTTGCATCCCCATGTTGCTGACCTCAAGGGCAACACGTCTCAGCACTGAACCGCACGTAAGACTATCATGCAATATCATTGCAATGATCGTATAGTTTCTCAGACCCTGAGGGTGTCATTAAATATCATTAAATGTATGGTTGTTGAACTCCTATGTGCCCTGCCTTTTTCTGACAATCGCCATCTCAAACAAAACTGTTACTCTTGAACGTCCTATTCTGACACTTCGCAACTCAGGTCCAAACGGGCCCAGTGCACAAGCAATGGGTGCCATCCTTAGAGGCTTTGACCATCTTTGACCAACAATGTGGGGGCGTGACATAGTTTCGGTGGCAGGTTTGAAAGCAGGTGCTTGCAAGCAAGAGCCAGCAACTTAGGGTGAAGGCTGGGCATCTGCCTCAACCAAAGAGAGCAAATCAAGCACAGTTTATCTTTGAGTTGGTTATAGTTGGTTGAAAGGTGCATCAGCAAAGCTCCTGGTTGCAGCTTCAAGGATCATTTGGTGCGGCAAGTTTTTTCACCCGGCATAAACCCGTAGCTGGTTCCAACAAGCTACAGAAACTAAGACCCATGACCTTCAGGTCAGTCCCCTATGGCACACACTTCGAGTGGTTTCACTCTCGTGATGCAAGTCCCCACCCAAGAAAAAAACATGTTTACGTAAATGACATCATTGACATCATCCATTTTGGACAGGACCTCACGAGAAGCAATGCTTCAACAGCGGGCTTGCCTCACACAGCACCTCCTGCAGAGATTTCCGAGAGACCACCAGCTCAACCACCTGATCTGGATTGCCACCTTTGGACGCTCGTCTCTTTCGGAGGTGCAGCAAACCGCGCTGCTCCATAGCAGAAATGGCGGCATTCGCCTGTGGCTTGGATGCCGCAGGCTGCTTCAGTCTGCTGAGCATGGCTTTATATCTCTGGAAAAGGTCCGTGAAAGTCACGTCCTGCTTCTCTGATTGGGATAGTGTGCCCAAAAGGATCTGGTGTCCTGTTGGGAAGTGCTTCACTTCAGCTAAAGGGTCATTGTCTGATTGGAGGACCCTCTTCTTTGTGTCCTGTGCTCCACCTTCTGCCTCTTTTTGCCGGGCTGCCTCTGCAAAGCCGTCCTCGCACAATCGCACAATGTGGCGGCAGTCGCCACTGTGCTTGGCCACTCTTCGGATCGAGAGCTCAATGCCCGCGCGGCCAAGTGCCTTCTCTGCCAGTTGTCCTTCCTCTCCAGCAGCTGCAAATTGTGCCTTGACGATGGATCGCAGTTGTTCTGCCGAATAGGGCTCAAACAGCAGGGATGCACATTTCTCCTGTCCCTGCTTGCAGGCCCGAATCAGCAAGTCCACTGCATTGGCAATCATGAGGATTGCTAAAGCTGGTGCTTCAGGTTGAAGTACCAAATTGCAAAGATTGTCCAAAGAATTCTCTCCACATTGAGATGGCTTCTTGACCAGTTGGTCAACCTCATCAATGATGAGAATCACTGGGCTTCCAAGCCGCTGGAGGCTTGATGCAGCTGCACTCATCAAGCTGGACAGTGGACTCTTGGCTGTGACCGATGGTCGTGCCACGGTGCCAGTTGCCAGATTGCACACTTCGATGAGCCGAAGATAGAAACCAGCCACTGAACTTGGCTGCAGCTGTTCCATGCAATTGATCTCAACTACGCGGGTACTGGGGAACTGCGCACGCCATGCGCGAGCTGCACCTCTGGCTGATGAGGTTTTGCCGGTGCCTGGCCCTCCACTGAGGTAGAGGCAACTCCCCTGACCTGGCTGTCCTGGCTCTCCGAAGCAACTCTTCAGGAAGTCATCGAGAACATCGCATTCCTTCTCCCTACCCACTAAAGGATAAGAATCCCCGGCTGAGACGCCCTGATCTAACAGCACTTCTGCTTGTGTTGCCTTCTTCGGGCACTTCAACGGATCGGTGGGCTCGGTGGGCTCGGTGACCGTGACTCTCTGACATTTCACTGGCGTCTCAGGCTCTCCATCTAATAGCCTTCGCTTCCCACGATGACGTCGCTCTGGAGTTTCATATGCCATGACACAAATGGCTGGGACGCACAGGAAGGCTGAGATACTGACCTGCAGTACCCTGAGCCACAGGAGGTATACCATTACCCTCTGAGACACAGTTCATGGAGCAATCATGTGCAATCAACGACAATTTTGCCTTGCTGATCTGATGGCAATGACGATGAGCAACGTGCCCCAAAACACGCTATGGCTGGATGTGCATTGTCTAGGCGCAGCACTTCAAGGTTTTCTTCTCACTGTAGCCTGACTGGGAGAAAGGCGTAGGACGGCGTAGGTAGGATCGAAATGGAGATGGTTTCTGCTACCCACTTGAGGTCAAACTGAGGATTACAGTACATTGAATAATGAAACTCAATGGTTTTGGTATGGTTGTCGATCCTTCAAAAAATTGACTTTGTTTTGTTCTTGAGCTTACCACACTAATTAGTGGGCATCTTAGGGACATCTACAGGATCTTTTTGCTCCGGAAGATTGTGAAAACATCACAACACTCCAGGATGCCTGTGGACGAATGGACGTAAGGCACTCCAACTTTTCTTGCTTCAGGGCCGCGCTCCCAAATGAGCTTCACCTACATCGAAGCTGGCAGCTGTCAAGGCAAACGAGCAAGGCATTTTCAGGCCGTAAAAACCCTCTGCTCATCTCTGCTCATTCTCTGTTGCAAGTGGCTCCTATGAAATCCGGACAAAGCTCAAAGTAAAAAAAAACATGTAAAAAATTGTAAGAACCTGTATGATTCCACCCTTTGGCAATCAAGCCCATGCACGATCTGCCCATTCGCCTGCTGCAGGTGTCGATCCTCAGTAGGTTCACTCACTGCTGTCAGCTTTTTCCGAGGACAAGGATTATTAGCAGTTCCCTCATTCAAAAAATGCGCAACATATCACATCTACAACTTACACACACACACACATATATATACACACTTATCTAATAACTTAACATAACTTATAAAACTAATCTTAACTATATACCTATATATAACTGTGCTCAGACTCTGCTGGGCAGCCCGGCAGAGTCTGCCCGTGCACCTCACAGGCAGTAGCTACACCGGGAGGTGATGCTCGGACCACAGCTCAAGTGAAGGAAAATCCACTGCTACAATGGATTCAAAAGATTTTAACTGATTCAAGCGCTTCAATATCTTAATACATCCATCATCATCCATCTATATCTTGATATCTGAAATGATCTGAAATGATCTGAACATGTACATGTATATATGTACATGTTACATCAATGGCCTTGAAATGAAGTTGACAGCCGGGTTGTAGAGGCACACTGCCGTGGTTCCACTCCCCAGCCTCAAGAAGGGAGGAGTCTGAAGCTCGGCTGGGTTCATATTGTGGTGAATTTGTTTCATGGAATATCATCCCATCGTCCCATTATATCCCATTATCATCCCCTCGTTTCAGTTCATTTCACCTAAGACTTCTGATTTCATCTATATAATCTGTCTGGTAGTGTGTTCAAAAGCTTAGGTTCTGAACTGCCATGGGTATCAGCCGCGTCTCCAATACCAGGCATGCCTCAGAGTTCCGTTGTTAGAATGTTGTTAGGATGCAGCCGGTGAGGTACCACTCGACATGAAATAGGCTGACAGGCACGCTTCTCTTAAAACATAAGCCGCAAACATGAAGCTTTGGGCACCTGCTACACGCTCCCGATGATATTTTGTTGGTACTGTAGTGTGTCATGGTCATGGTGTACCTATGTGTACCTACAGCTCTGCATGCATTGCCTCCAAGCCTGCCCCATTGGCGCTTACAGTATGCTGGTCTCTGTTAGAGTCTCTATGCTTCTAAAGCGACATGATATGACATCTATACCCCACCATACCCCACCGCTTTCTTTCGGCAACTTTGACCGTTTCAGCTACATTATGCAAGGCTGTCACGGATTGCCATAGAGGGGAAACGCAAAGAATGCGGATTTCATCTGTGACAATGCGCACACCTCCCTGGACGGAGCAGGCGACTCCTCCCATGTGAAGTGTTGAGCTGAACCCTCAATTGGAGAACTGGCATTTGTTTTTCAGGCTGCATGAAGTCTTTTTTTTGTGGCCAGGCTTGCCCTCCCCCGCTCTCCTCAGAGTCAATGTCCAATTGCAAGTTTGCATCAACATCCTTGCTGGGTTGAATATGCTAACACGCCAAACTTGCAGAAGAATCAGAAGAGATAGGCAAAAAATCGGGAAAAAACCTTCGAACACTCACCACATACCCTTTTCACCCGCAAACACCTGGTAGAGGTGTCATGGGACAAGCCTCACTAAGGAAAACTCGTGTCCTATCTCTCCATTAGACATTTGTTACCATTGAACCTCCGAGAGCCCAGCGCGAATAATGCCTGGCAATGCCTGAGCAATAACCAAAATCATCAAACAACATTACCCTCTGGTAATGACTAACATAGCTATTGAAAATGACCATTTATAGTGGATTTTCCCATTAAAAATGGTGATTAAGTTTTGGAGAAACATCAAACTCTAAATATCTCGAACTTGTGAATCCTTCAACAGGAATGACCTGGAGCTGGAGGATCCTCTAGATTCAACACCACAGTCGCAGTGACAGCCACGCGGCAGCAAAATCACAGCTTCGCTCTTTTCATGAACACATAAAGGCGCAACGGCACATGCACAATCTTTGAAGATATGCATGACAATAGAGGCACATAGAAGCTTGCGCGCAAATGCCTTGACTTGGGGGAAATATGTTCATTTTTTTAACCTGACATTCTGCCCTTGTCAGCATGAGGCTCAAAGCGACCCATTGGTCGAAAAACCTGTGTACATAAATGATGTCAAATAGGTATAATTTATGCTTCGGGGTATAACGTACTGTCAGGCAAACATACCGCTTTCCATTGCAGATCGCTTTCAACATCCCATGAAGCTGGCGACACATCCCGGGGGACTTCAAATATGGTCCAACAGCAGTTTATCGGCCTGCATTTGCTCGCCGGCAGATCGTGCCGAATCTCTTGGGGTCTTATGTTGCCCCGCTGTGGCCCACAGCCACAATTTCAATGTACAATGCAATGTAGTGAGAGAATGCGATGCAATGGGAGAATGCAAGAGACACCGCTTGAGTTCCTTAGCCAAAAATAGATGTAGTACATACATGGCATTTCATGGCAGCAATATGAACTAACAAGAATACAATATGAACAAATCATCCTGAAAGAGGTGCGGGAGACGGCTCAAGCAATTCCCGCCGCATTTCCCTTCTCAGCCAAGCTGGCTGCACGACTGGAAAGGTGCTGATCGTTTACGCCTCACCTGCAGCAACTGAAACAACCCTATATCTGCGTCGCTGCAGGTTGGCAAAACAATGTCTCTTTTAAATCCAACATGATCCAACATGATCCAACTAGTCGAGCCTCCCTTTCCTTTCTTCGCCTTCATCTTGTTCCTTACGAATCTTTGAAAAGTAGCTGCCAGAACTCCAACTGTTACACAATTGCCCAGAATTCTACAGTACTCCGATGGCATGTTCTGCAATCAAACTGAACGCCGCTGAACTGGTTGCGCAACCTGAACTGTCTGCATCTAGAGCGCGCTTTTGATACTATAGACCATGTGTATTCACAAAGCTGTATCTGATTCTATAGCTGGCGGTCTTTCATGCATCCACGTATGCACATACGCACCGTTTCCACCCTGTGGAATTACAATTGCGCAACCGTTTCCATGTCCCATGTGATGCTATATTATACAGTATTAAGCCTCAAACCATGTGTATATATATATATAATACATTATAATACAGTAAGCATCTCTGCTACTGGCACGACAAGTGGGCAAGGAACCTTCGAACCCAGCACAGCTGTCTCAAATTCCTGCCAAGTTTCTTGGCTTTTTTCTTGGCTTCTGATTTTGCTAGTGCCTCCGCCTGATGTGAAGAATCAGAACTGCACAGTGTCATATATATATATATCTCTCTCTCTATCCACCTAGGCGCAAAATCAAGAAATCAAATAAATAGCACATGCCGCGATTCTGCGGAACAAACAAATCGATACACATAGAATAAAATGGAATAAATCAGTGCATGCTCTTTAGCATTCTCTAGCAGCGATTGGATTAAACGCTTTCCCAGAGCATTCATCTGGGATTTTCCCAATATATAAAATATTGGTAATATATGGTAATATATTACAATAGATTCCAATCAAGTATATCATATTCTATAACTATATATATATATATATGTGTTTATATATATATATATACATATGCTACATCCCGTTGATTCCCATTGTATCTCATCCTATATCTACGGTCTTGTTTCGAATCCACCAACGGAAGCTGGCCTTTCTCTTCTCCCCCTTCGGCGCGCTCTCGGGCTTAGGCGCGCTGGCAAGGGCCTGTGGCTGCCCACGCATCTCAAGAAACAGATCAAGATGCCTTCAAGAGCTCATGGATGCTCATAGGATCCTAGATATAAGCAAGGACTCAAGTATTGAATGCTCAGGACTCGTAGGACTGCTTGTCTGTCACTATCCGCGACTTCTGGGAATCAATTTCATGGCTCATCATGGCTCATCTGGGCTAAATCGAATGAACATCAGGACCTGAGCGAGCTGTGTAAACTCCTTTGCATCCTGCGCACGTGTTCACTTTGATATCAAGTGTATCCTGCCCTCGTCTTACATTCCAGGATGAACATGCATCTTGTGAACGACTAGTTTGCTGCAAACCTGCAAATGCACAAATCCAAGAATGTAAAAGACTTCATTGATGAATCAAAGAAAAGCGACCTACACAGTATGTAGTCACTCTGTTGGCTCGACGAACACTACAGGCTTTGAATCAGTTGCTGTCCTGATTGGTCTGTGAGAATGAGCCGTAGGCCTGAACAGGGCAACATACGACAAAAATAAAAAGCCGTTTTCAACGTCTTTCAATTCTTGCATAAGTTGCCAAGCAAAAGGCATAGCACCAAGCGTGGAGATGACCCTCTAGACCCGCAGAAATGTAGCATGAACAATTGAGCCTCAATTGATTACAATAGGATACAATAGGCAGGTCAAACTTCAGGCCCCGAGGGCTCCAGGGACTCCAGGGGCCACAAATGTTTGCAGAGTTGAGCTGTTTACTAAGCCTTCAGTTGTTGGTGGCATGTTTTGAAGTGTCGCCTGGTGTGGTCGTGGCATGTTACTAAAAGCGAACCAATTTTGTGGCTCCATTGGTACCATTTCTGGTCGCTTGGCGATGGCCACCGTACCAAAGGTGTTTGCTATGGCTTGTGCAATAGTTTCATCTATGTTGTGGCTATGTTGGGCTTGGGCCTGCATGTGGCATCTTAGCCAATTTTCAGACCTTTTCAAATGTAGAAGAGCACAAGATTCTAGAGCAATAAAGGCCCCCTAGCAGCTACCATTCAAAGCTTGCAACGGCTTCCCACCCCCAAGCGGTGACCCAAGCCTTCTGCAGCTCGATCTCCCACTTGGCCTTTGTCATTGCGCCTTCTGCTGCGCCTGAGACTGGACTGGGCACCAGTTTATCCACCAAACCTTAACCTTCCCCGCAAGCACTCTATGTTCAGGATGCAGTTCATTCAATGCAAATGACTGAGCCACATATACAACACCTTCACTTCCTTGTGGGATTTGAGCGCAGCACCCTCAACCACGGAGATTGTCCAGTTGGCAGGGATTGATGGAGAGGGCACCACTTGAAAACAAGCACAACGCTCCACCTGGTCCAAGAAATCTGGACTGAAAGCAATGAAGAGAGCTCGACAGGAATGGAATTTCCAGTGATGATATCAGGTCTCTTTTGATTCTTTTGGTTGTAGTCACAGCATATGGAGGCACTGTATCCGACTGACATATGTTCATGTTGAAAATCAACAGAATGTTCTGAGATGCTCCTTTTTTGGGGCGATTCTGGCCCCACATTCTTCAAGGTCAGGGTCACTCAGGTATCCGCGGCATTTCACCAGCCACATCATCAATGAGAACACAAAGCTTCACCAAATCCATATGAAATCTGGTGCGGCAACTAGGATCCCAGCAAATTTGCGATAACCCCTCAGCTGTTTGAGCGCAAGACGCAACACAATCTGGTTTAATTGCATTATATACGCGCGTTATATAATGTTATATATATATATATATAAATGTGTGTGCATGTATGAACAACTGAACAGCTTATATAATTTATATACATCAAAGAAAACATGCTTCGACAGAAACTGCTTAAACATACAGAACACACTATGAACCCATCAGAACGGTGCGCAGCTGCGCAGCTTAGACACCCCAAGATGGGCTTCCACTTGGTCGGCCAATCTTTCGGCGTCCACGCCACACCTTTCTTCTGAGCCTGTCGAGGATGCCATGGGGTACTGCTGTGACAAATTGGATGTGCATGGATGTGGGTATAATTATGTATAATTGATGCTCTCCTTCAAGCCAATCATTCGGTCTCAGATCATCTCAGATCGCTGTGTTCCTGTGATCAGCCCTGAATAGCATGGGTGGCGTCCTCAGGATTCTTCAAGGCTTCTTTGATGATTCTGATGACCTGCCGAACAACCATTGGTGACTGGCCGGTATCCAACTATTCCAACTGGCCTACGGCCTACAATCAAATCCTGCTGTTCAAGGCTGCCAAACTCTGACAAGTCAGACAGCCAGACATATCTCCCAGGCACCCTGGGACCAACTGAAAATTCTTCCCACCTCAGTAGTTGCCTTTTCTTTCTCCTGAACTCAGTTGCAGATCGGACCAGTCCAAGACACAGCAAATCCAGCAAGAATGCAATTCAATGCAATTCAAGCTGCCGCAAATCCATTCGGCGCCCTTCAGGGGACCTTCACTCGTCACCCCCCCCCAAAAAAGTCTAGTGCTTATGCTACCTCTACGTACCTCTACAGCTCTACAGTCATCAATCACCACCAGCCCATGCCAGTTGCCGAAGAACTTGCTCCTGAGTCGTAGGAGGTGCTTTTTGAAGTGTTCCTGGAAAACGGCTTAAGCAGTTCATGGGCAGGGGACATGAGTTTCCAAAGTCACCGCCTGGCTTGTTGGGCGTAGCGTTCCCTGTGGTCTTTGCCTTGGCCAACTGCTACTTTCATGCCAAGGCCGACAAGATGCGCGGGTAAGATCTACAATCCAAGAAAATACAAACCGAAGATCATTGAAGCCTTCGAATCAGCATGGCCAAGGTCAAGGTACTTCTGCCGGTGCATCTGGCTTTGCTTTTGCAGCAGCTTTCTTCGCCTTCTTCGCTTCCTGATGCTGGGGCGTGAACTTCTCATCCCTGGATTGCAGAGCGAAAAGATCGAAAGGTCAATGGGAATCCTTTCCCAAGTAATAGATTCTCCTACCAACGCAGCACCTTGCTAGTTATAGCCATAGCGAATTCGCATGAATTACCGTCATAGGAACGCAGTGTCACATAGCGATTAAGTATACTAAGTCAGCTCCAACTTGCCATGACTTGCCATATTTCATGATTTCCCTGTCATTTCCCTGTGATTTCCATTGATTGTTCATGATTTTTCTCGTGATTTCCCGGTCCTTGGGCGATAACTTTGGTGAGGTTTTGGGAGACTCCTTGGGCGGCAGCTTTGGCGACGTCTTTGGCGACACCTTGGGTGATCCCTTCTCGCCGTCGCCTGAGACGATCTTTCCGCCCTGAGCAGCACACACACATCAACTGACCCATCCATTGCAAAAATGACCACGAAGTCACGAAATGATTCTTTGAGAAGGATATTTATATTCATATGGATTTAGGAAATGTGATGAAAGCTATCTGAAAGCGCGGGTTCCAGCGCGCAGTTGGGAATACCAAAGCTACCTTGTTTTCACTCAAAAGATCTCAAGAGTTTCTTGTCACACAGCCTTCTTGCCCTTCTTGATGATCTTCTTGCCAGCCATGGCGTGCAAGCTGCCACTGCCCTCTTTGCAAATGACTTTGAGCCAACGAAAAAGCATGAAACACGCTGGTGGGCGTTCAACTTGAACACTTTTGCCAATGTGGTGCCGTGAGGCTTAAGAGTGTTTCTCTATGAGAGAGATGTCTTCTGAAAACAGGCCCTCCCGCCACAGTTGTAAAGAATATTTTTGTTTGATGTCGAAAATGCTCACAACTTTCCAGAATATGTTTCTTTGGGGCATCAAACAAGTGTGAAAAAGGTTAATGTAAAATCAACTGAAACTGAAAACGGCTGGATTGACAAAAAAGGGTTCGAAAAACAGAATAGTGGCGGTGCACCCGGCCCACAACTCTCTCAGTCTGAAAGTCACTGAAAGTATTTAAGCTATGATATGTCAAGCTGAAATCTATAGCAACGCGCAAAATTCCCAACAGCAGGGCCTGTTGGGTTTCAATCTCTAGGGCTGGGGCTGGCTCGCGGGGACTTGCAGCCTTCAAAATCCGGAATGGAACCCTGGAACCCTGGAACCCTGAAACCTTGGAACCCCGGAACCCTGGAACCCTGGAACCCTGAAACCTTGGACCTGGAACCCTGGAACCCTGGAACCCCGGAACCCTGGAACCCTGAAACCCTGGAACCTTGGAACCCTGCGACCGTGGAACCCTGAAACCTTGGAACCTTGGCACCCTGGAACCCTCAAGGATTCTGGAACCCTGCTACCTTGGAACCCTGGAACCTTGGAACCCTGCACACCTAGCACCCTGCTGGGATCCTGGAACCCTGAAACCCTGGAACCCTTGGAACCGTTGGAACCCTTGGAACCCTGGAAACCTTGGGAACCCTGGAAACCTTGGAAGCCTGAAACCGTGGGACCCTGGTACCCTGGAACCCTGGAACCCTGAAACCTTGGAACCCCGGAACCCTGGAACCCTGGAAGCCTGGAACCCCGGAACCCTGGAACCCTGAAACCCTGGAACCTTGGAACCCTGCGACCGTGGAACCCTGAAACCTTGGAACCTTGGCACACAGGAACCCTCAAGCATTCTGGAACCCTGCTACCTTGGAAACCTGGAACCTTGGAACCCTGCAACCCTGCACACCTGGCACCCTGCTGGGATCCTGGAACCCTGAAACCCTGGAACCCTTGGAACCCTTGGAACCCTGGAAACCTTGGAACCCTGAAACCGTGGGACCCTGGTACCCTGGAACCTTGGAACCCTTGAAACCCTAAAACTTCCAAACCCTAAACTCTATGCGCGCTGCGCGCGCTGCATGCAATAAAGTAAACCCTAAAACTTCCAAACCCTAAACCCTAATGCGCGGTGCGCGCGCTGTGTCCCAGAGAAGTAAACCCTAAAATTTCCAAACCCTAAACCATCGTGTTATGCAACTTCCAAACCCTAAAGTTTAACCCGCGGTGTGCGCGCTGCATGCAATAAAATAAACCCTAAAACTTCCAAACCCTAAACCCTAATGCGTGCTGTGCGCGCTGCGTGCCAGAGATAAACCCTAAAACCTTCAAACCCTAAACACTAATGCGCGCTGCGCGCGCTTTGTGCAATAGAAATAAACCCTAAAATCTTCAAACCTGAAACTCTCGTGTCATAGAGGTAAACCCTAAAATTTCCAAACCCTAAACCCTAACGCGCGCTGCGCGCGCGGTGTGCCATAGAAGTACCCCTTAAAATCTCCAAACCCTAAACCATCGTGTCATGGAGGTTAACCCTAAAACTTCGAAACCCTAAAGTTCAACGCACGCTGTGCACGCTGCATGCAATAAAATAAACTATAAAACTTCCAAACCCTAAACCCTAATGCGCGCTGCGCGCACTGCGTGCCACACACATAAACCCTAAAACTTTCAAACTTTAAACCGTAACGCGTACTGCGCGCACAGCCTGCCATAGAGGTAAACGGTTAAACTTTCAAACGCTGCGTGCCATAGAGGCAAAGCCTAAAACTTTCAAACGCTAAACCGTAAAGCAGGCTGCGCGCGCTGCGTGCCATAGAGTGCTCCTCAAAAGTGATTACATGTCATACTTTAGTGGCATCCTCCAAATTCATTAGTCAGCCTTTGTTAATCCAGGGCCCATTTTACACATGTCATCTTCTTGGTCGTGGCGCCATTTCAGGATCACACTGATGACCTAAGCTTTGGCCTTAACTATTATGCAGGCAAGCGACATCAGCACGCTATGGTATTGGAAGACACAGGGTTTGCCCGTAGACCAGCCAAAAAATCGATTTTCCACACTGAACAATTGGATTTAACACATTTAGAATAGGAGCTCCGCCTGATTCAGATTTCATCACTTAAAAGGTACCCATGCCTGACTAGCCTTCATGACTTAAAGCGTAACCACACCCGACTTAAGGGAACCATGCCTGACTAGCCTTCATAATTAAGAGGTACCCACCCACGCCTGACTTAACAGAACCCATGCCTGACTAGCCTTCATAATTAAAAGGTACCCATGCCCCTGAATTCAGGGAACCATGCCTGACTAGCCTTCACAATTAAAAGGTACCCACTGGAACCATGCCTGACTAGCCTTAATGACTTAAAAGGTAACTACACCTGACTTAATACCTGATTTACTGGTTTTGCCTGATTTTGGAAAAACGCAGGGCCGGAATTTTGCAGGGCGCGGGCCGGAATTTGCCGGGCCCGGGCCGGAATTTGCCGGGCTGGGATTTTGGGGTTGTGCCTAAATAGGATTTTTGCAAAAATCGTGCATGACTGAAGGGAACCATGCCTGACTAAACATCATACCAATCATCCCAAAAGAATTCAATAATTCCAGCAAGTGATGCCTGACCAATCCCTGCGTCATAATAAACCGTCTGCCCCTCCCCACCCAATAATGAACACACGGAATAGTTTTTTGTATTTAGTGGGTATTTAGTATGAGGGTGCGAAACTTCCCCCTTGGTAAAAAAAACTAAATTGGAAAACATTTTTTAAATAACATCTAACTAAAATATTGCCAAAATTGGATTCCGAAGCTTCCCCCTGACATTAAATTGAAAACATTCGTTTTAAAAAATGAACTTTATATTTCAAAACCGATTGAATTCCTATTCAAAATTTAACTCAAATCTTGCCAAATTGGATTTCGAAGCTTCCCCTTATATTAAATTGAAAACCTTACTAATCCCCACCTCCTTTTACTAAACGTACCCTAAATATTGAAATATTACATTGATTCCTTTTACTAGGGTCCGCGTTAAATTTTGGGAAATTTCAGGCTGGCCAGTTTGACTTTTAATTGATACCTTTTCAAAAACAAATTAAACATGAAGGTCCCATTTCAGGATTTCACCACCAAAAAATAAAAACTAGTCAGCCCCGGTGATTTTTTTAAACTAGGGTCTTTTAAGGTCGAAAAAATAAGTATTTTATATTGCAACGTTTATATAATATTGGGGGAAAACTTCGAAATCCACTTTTTGGCATTTCCTGGCAATATTTTTGCTGGATGTCAAAAGGAAATCTAATCGATTCTTGAAATCGAAAAAACATAGTTTTTTTAATTAGTGTTTTTAATTTAATCTTAGGGGAAAACTTCGAAATCCAATTTTTAGCAATATCTTAATTATATGTTAAACAGAAAACTAATCGATTTTGAAACAGTTTTTTTTTAAATATATTAGGGCTGGTAATTTAATATTAGAGGAAACATTTCGAAATCCGGTTTTTGTTTTTATTTTTGTTACTACAATTTAAAAGGAAATCGAATCGATTTCAAAAAAGAAAAAATAATATTTTATATTAGGGTTTTTAAATGTAATATTAGGGGAAAACTTCAAAATCCAATTTTTGACCATATTCTAATTAGATTTCAAAAGGAAATCTAATGAATTTTGATATAGAAAAAATAGTCTTTGATATGAGGGTTTAATATGAGGGGAAAGCTTCGAAATCCAATTTCTGGCAATATCTTAATTTGAATTTACAAGGAAATCTAATCGATTCTGAAATAGAACAAATTTAGTTTTTTATATTGGAATTTTTCATGCAAGATTAGGGGAAGCATCGAAATCCAATTTTTGAACATATTTTAATAATTGGATTTTAATTTGATATTAGGGGAAAGCTTCAAAATCATTTTTTTGTTTTTTTCATTAGATTTCAAAAGGAAATCTAATCGATTTTGAAACAGGAAAAAAAACAAAATGATATTAGGGTTTAATATAAGGGAAAAGCTTCGACATCCAATTTTTTGGCCATATTTTATTTAATTTTTAAAAGGAAATCTAATCGATTTCGAAATAGAAAAACATACATAGTTTTTTATGTTGGGGGTTTTTATTTGATATTAAGCTTCGGAATCCACTTGTTTGCCATATTTTAATTGGGTTTAAAAAGAAAGAAATCTGATCGATTTTGAAATAGAAATATGTGTATATAGTGTGTGTTTTTTATCAGTATTACGGGGAAGCTCCGTACCCTAATACTAAAGACCCCCCCAATACTAAAAACTCCTCCAGGTGTTTGTTATTTGGGTGGGTGGGTGGGTGAAGGGGCGACTGTTTAGCAACAGGGGGAAGGGATTAAACCGTTTTTTGTTTCTAATTTCAAAATCCATGAAAATAATCTTTAAATAGAATACTGCCAAGAATAGGATTTCGAAGCTTTCGCCTAGTATCAAATAAAACACCAACACCTGAATTAAAAAAACTAAAATTGACGATTTTAAAGGACGGACCCCAATAAAAGACACCCCGGTGTTGACTAGTTTTTTATTCTTTGGGGGTGAAACCCTCACATGGTACCTTCATTTTTAAAATTGTTTTCTCAACGGGATCAATTAAAAATCAGATTAACCAATTTGACATTTCCCAAAATTGGAAATCGCACCTAGTTTTTGTCATTTGGGGGTATTTTTCGTAATAGGGAGAAAGGATTAGCAAAAAGAATGCCTGATCAAAATGATGCTGACTCTGTGTGTTACAATCTTTTTGCCCACTACAGTGTCTACAGGGTTACAAGGGATGCCGTGCCAGCTAGAGTCCCAAGTCCATTCAACCAACACCCTAATCGATGAAGTTGGACTTGTTGAAATGGAAGTGGGACTCAACCAGTTGACATGGGGCGATGCTGACCTTCAACGGGAGCTTCGGCGCCTGAAGGACAACAGTTTGAAATTTCCGAACCTGCAATATATTTTCAAAATTGCCTTACTAAGAGTGATCCCCACCCTGACACACTATTCTGACATAGTTTCTGACATATCATCTGGACGTATATGTGGCATATATGTTCTGACATACTATCTTACATTCTTTTCTGAGATTCTATTTGACATTCTTTCTGGCATCCTATCTGGCATCTATTCTGACATACTTTCTGGAATATACTATATTCTGATCCTGCCTTGCCATGAGTTTGGGCTGGGAGTGCTTTTATTTGCGTGGATCAATGCCAATGGCTTGAATATCCACCAAATGTTGGTTTCACATGTTTGCACCCAATGATTGCCATTACCATTGATACCCCAAAATGGCCAGGTCCTGAATTTGAGAGTAGGTCCTGAAAAGTTTTCTGGGTACTGAAAAAACAGGACTTTGGCACAGGGTCTGAAAAAAGACGTAGGTGGAAGATTCAGGTATGCTGTTGGGTTGCAAAGCTGGGTTAATGGTATTACATGTATTTACTATCGTTCTCTACTTTTTCAGGCTTAGTTTAGATACTCTCAAGTAAATCTTGCAGTACAGCAAATCACCGTGAGACGCAATGCAACACCGTCTAAAGCAAATTTAAGGGCAAGGCTGTCCGCACTCGTTGACGCGCAGCACGTCCCGCAGCAACAGCCCTACGGCAGGGGTTTTGAACAGTTTTGAATGGGACCATAGGGGACCTTTTGTTCAGCTTCGTTCAGCCAGCAATTTCTTGTCTCATCTTGTCTCATCTTTCTAAATCATTTAGGCTGGTGAAATCTTTCTCATACTGCACAGCTTCAACTACTTAATTGCAGCATCTCTATCTCCATGTATCTGAATGTATCTCCAACCACAAGTCGGAGCCAGTTGGAGTCGGCACAAGGTCACACTCTGAGAGTTCTTCCTTCGAATCGGGATATCTTCTCCGTTCAGCCGAAAGTCCACCTGTTGCCACACTGAGGGAACCCAGGCGCAGTGGCGCAACCAACATTGAGACCTACTTTATACATCTCTATACTTTGTACCAGAGAAAACCTATTATATAAAGACAATTTGAAACCTATCTTCCAGCCTTGACGTCGACGTAAGCCGACATCTTCCAATCGTTCTCTGGTCCTGGCTCCTGCTGCTTGCAAATCAAACAGTCAGGCAGCACAAGCAGTGTAATGTTTTTCCCCAATCAAGGCATGAACCTTTCTCCAACGTTCGATGTGCAGCAGCTGCATCTTTTTTGGACTTGTCAATTCTTCTCCAAGCTCAAAGCTCAGCCTTCACTGGCGTGACCTCTCACAGAAGCTGCGATGGTTGCTGTGCATGTCTCGGTCAAACTTGTCCACAACAATGACACACTCAGTTTTGTCCTGATGAGCGGTCAACCCAATCCCTTAATATGTATGAATTCTGAATACACGCACATATGTATATAT